ACACGTCACATCCGGCGAGAGAGAATGGATAAGAGGCTCGTGGGATTGACGTGAGGGGGCAGGGATGGCTATATTTCTGGGAGCGAACTCCGGGCGACGCGGGCGTCTCCGACACCGGAGGACTAAAACAACGAAAATTTTTTTATTTATAGGACTAGTTTGCGACAGACTCTATTTATGGAACTAAAATGATAAGGGTCCGGGACTAAAAAAAATAGTTTACCCAAAATTATCAGTCCAAAAAAGACTTTACTATTATTATTTAATTTTATGTTAATTATATTGTATATGCTCTTGCAATTGTGCAATTTTATACTCCCTCTTACTTTGCCTCAAATGATCCAATTTTTTTTTTTTTTTTTTTTATATATATTTTACAAAAGATGATCTCTTTTAATTTTTGTAATTTTATCGATCTTAAACATAAATCAATTTAATTAATCTTCTAAGATCTTACACGCAAGACCTATTCAAAACTCACTTATTTCTATGTCTCTCCTCAATCAATATAATTTTTTATTTATCTTTAAAACTCCTCATTTTTTATAAAACTAATTTAGGGTAATGATAATATTTTTTTATTTATTTGTATTATATAAATTTTTATTATCTACAAAATGATATTCATATTGCATATTTTTTTTGAGATATAATCCTAAAATATTTTAAAATATCAATAATATTGCTCATATAAAAAATAATAAACTTAAATAATAACTTATTATTAATAACTTATTAATCTGTATTACCTAAAAAATCGTTCCTTTGACAAAAGGGTTCATCCCACGCGGAGGGAGTATTTAAGTTACAAGCTAATAATTGATTTTGATCCAATTATTTAATATCAGAGTTTTATATACTGTGTTTGTTTTGAGGATTGAATTTTAAATCCACTATTCATCTCATTTTTCTCCCAAAAAATATCAAATCAAACATCTATTTTTTATATTATACTAAAAATCAATTTTAGATTTAAAACATCATATCAACACCTATTTATTACATCATACAACTATTCAAATTCAAAATTTTTACTATTCAAATCTCAACCTAAAATCTAAACCCCCAAACAAAAACACCCTAAATTCATCGTTCGGTCGGCTCTTCTGAGCATTGAAGTCCGACCAACAGAATATAAGAAATATTATAAAAAAATAGTATTAATTTATAATACTTCCTCCGTCCCAAAACTACAAGTCTGGGTTATGTTCGACACGATATTTAAGAAATATTGATATTATATTGGTAGTGAGTAAAAATAATAGGTAAAAATATTTTTTGCCCTTGTGAGTATATTAGTGTAAAACGTAGTGACAATTGTGTAATAATAATAAAAAATAAGGGTAGTTTCATAGTTATATGGTTATTTATGGAAATGAAAATATTATTTTCGGACAGACAAAAATGATAAATAAGAATATTGTATTGAACGGAGGAGTAGAGTATAAATGGAAACTACTGAAATTTAAACTCAAACAATATATGATGAGATTATTTTTAATTTTTATCATTTTTCATAGCACATTCATTAATAAAAGTATACTCATTTCGTCAAGCTCTAAGGGTCTCATTTACGTTTTGCAATATTGTAATTAATTTTAAAAATATCTTTATATTTGTATAATTTTATTTTTTTCCACAAATATCGTTATAACAGTATTATAAAACACTAATAGAAGTATTTTTGCAAATTTTTTTTTAAATTTGTACTATGTTTTCATATAATAATTAATATTCAAATAACAATATGCAAAAAGTAAATGAGACCCTTATAGCAAGACGAATATAGTACTATATTTCTTTATAAAATATTTTAAATAACAAAAAGTTAATATTTTTTCGTAATATTTTTATAATTCTTAATAACAATGGAAACTTTTAAAACATTTAAATACTAAAAGAACGCAATGGTTAGCAGGGTATTAAGTTTGGTCGGAGGTTTACCCAGTGTGCAATTTCAGTAGCGAAATCTCATATCATAAAAAAAAAATGACATTATTTTGTTCATATATATATTAAAACTTATTTTTAACTAAATAAATAGTGGAGTCTAACATTACTGTAATTTTTATTAATATTTATAAGAGATTGTTTATATAGAGTTTGATTTTATATTTTGATTTAAGTTTTGTTTAAATGTTTAAATATTTTATAAAAAAAAATAATGTATTTTTCATAAATAAAAAATGGAAAAAATTATTAGGATTGCATATTAAAATAATTGGACAATAATTTAGAGTTGCTTGGTGCACATAAGTCTATTTTATATTAGAGCATGTTTATTTTTAATTTGAATCAAACCATTGTATTGTATATTTATTATTAACATAAATTCAATTGATAATATATTTATTAAATAATTTTTAAAAAATTATATTTAATATATAGATCGGGCAGGACGGGCATGGCCCGACTCCGATGGATCTGGACACAATCCAGTTCATATTCAAGCACGGCCGAAATATTATTTCGACCCTATTTTTGTAGACTAAATTCAAAGTATCTTTCTACTATTTTTTTTATTATACTCAAAGCATATTTTTTCTAATATAGTAAAAATATTTTATATACAAATATTAACATATTTATATTTTTACACAAATTACAAAAATATCGTTATTTTATTTTTACTTTTCAAGGACAAAAATATTAAATTATCTTATATACTTTCACTTTTATTTATCAAAAAATATTATTATTTTTTAATTCACTAGAAAAAAAAACAAATAATCCCTTTAAAATGGGACGAATCATATTTTATTAAGATAGCATATTTAAAATATTTAAATACATATAAATTTATTTTAATTATATATATTAATTATTATATTAAAATTAGAAATAATATTATTTATATAAAATATAATAAAATAATATCATAATTTATTATTAAAATATTATAATCTTAAATAACATAGTCTCTTTGTAGTGCCACATATAACTTATTTTTCTTTATTGGCCATTCCATATGATTCATTCAAAACCTCTCATTTGTATTATGTTTAATAAACAAATATATATATATTTAAAATTCTTTACTTTTTATAAAATTATTTTTAAATTTTTTATTTATTTGTATTGTATAAAATTTTACTATTTACAAAATATTATTCATATTGCATATATTTTATTGAGATGTAATTGTTAAAAATATTTAAATACTAACAATACTACTCATATAAATAAATACTCTCTCCGTTCCACTTATCATGTCCATATTTCTATTTCCGTTCGTCTCACTTGTTTTGTCACTTTTTTTTTGGAAAAAAATTATACACTTTAATCTTATTTTAAATTTTTTAATTTATAAAATTTTAAAGTTTAATTAGACTAATTAATTTTATTAATCTATAATTATTTTTATTACACTATAATTATTTTTACTAATAAATTATTAATTATTTACTAACTAACTTGTAACCCGTGTTATGCATGAATGATTTTATATTAAATTATATATTACTATTTTCTTTTAAAATATAAATACTATATATAGTGTTTATATATATAACATATTATCGAATCAAATCAATTAGAAAGACAACGTACACATTAAAATATTAAAACAAAAATAATTTGTAGAAAATAAAAACAATGAAATAGATAAAAAAAAAAAAATACATATATAATAAAAATGAAACGACTTCAATAAAAATAATTTTCTTATATTTTAAAATTTATCATAATTTTCTATACGGATCTTCTAAATATTTTTTTAAATCAAAGACTTAAAATTCGATTATAATCTAAAAAATTAAAAAGTGTATTAAAATATTATATTTAAAACTAAATCAATTTGAATAATATATATATATAATAAAAAAAATTGATTAATAAAAAATAATAAATAATTAAAAAATTTATATACAATAAAAATGAATGTACTAAAATAAAAATAAAATTTTTATTCAAATATTCATTTCAATAAAATTTTGGAAATTTGAATGTAATCTACAACTTTAAAAAATATTGTAATATAATACTCGAAATTAAATTAATTAAAAAATACATATATCCTATAAAAATTATATACATTATATTTTGTTTGCTTCTTTTTTTTCCTTGAGATTTTGTTTTTCTTTTTATAAAATAATTTATTAGTGAAAATTAAAAAACATATATATTAATAAGAATAAGATAGTTAATATAAAAAAATTATGGTTGGTTAATTTTTGCATAATTAAACTTTAAATATTAAAAGTTAAACAAAAAAAATTACTATAATGATTTTAATATATATATTATTTGCGTAAATAAATTATAAAATAGATTTGATATTTTTTAATGTGAAAAATTCTTCGCTCCCTTAAAAGTATATAAAGAACGATAAATAAATTAAAGTAAAATTACAAGTTGTCCAATATAAAGTTCATTATAATCATAAGCATGTTCGATTATCATTCAATCAATCAACAAAAATAATTTTTTTACAAAAATCAAGAAAACAAACCTAAAAAATTTGTCAATGATTTTGACTTGATTATTTGACTTAAATATATATATAGATATAAGAAATTTTAACTTTATCCACATTTTTGTTATTAATTATCCTAATAAATCATGTAACAAAATTTAATTAATTATCTAAATTTAATATCTTAAAAAAAAAATTCAAAAAAAATTGTGGAATTCATGTGTTTATAATGGACATATAGTCAAAATAATAAAATAATATTATAATTTATTATTAATAATTTATTTCCATTATAATCAAAATAATAAAATAATAAAATAATATTATAATTTATTATTAATAATTTACTAATACGTGGTACCTAATACCCTAAAATAGTGAATTCATAACAAATATATCATGTGACCTGAAAGAGAAAAAAGAGAGAGTAGTATTTCAAATAGCTGATTTTTCGGTATTGAAAGTTAGAAAAATATAATCCAATTTTCAAATATTAAAAAAATAAAAAATATTATAATAATATTTTATAGTAAATAATGGCTAAGAAATAGCGCGTATGCAAATCTGCGGTTCATTCATTGTTGGAACAGAATCCAGAGAGAGACGCCATTGGAGAACGTTCGGAAGCCACAGCTATATTACACCAAACCCTTAACCCTCTTCTCCTGCTTGTTGAATCCTTGCTCCATCTATCTAACTCTAATTCATCATCATCAATGGCGTTGTTCAGGAAACCCCTAGCGCAGCGCCTTTTGGGGCTGTCAAGGATCAACAATCCTTCATCCATAACCACTTGCCGCACTTCCTTGCCGCGCAAGGCGGTGATGCTCAACCACGAACCCGCGCCGAACAAACTCGCTCCAGATCGAGGAGACGACGGCGTATTCCGTCGATACCTGCACCGCCGCTCCGCGCCGGCGGGGCTAGGGCTCCTTCCCCCCGGCGACACGCTTCTCGAGAAGCTTCGCGATTTGAATATCTCCAAGGACAGGATTAGGCTGGAAGGACTGATTCCGCCGTCGGTGGAGTCGCCGGAGGCGACGGTGACGGTCGAGGACGCGAAGAAGATCCTCCGATTGACTTTAATGGAGAAGGTGAAGTCTCGTCTGAGTCAGATTGAGAAGGATTGCGTTTCGTATCCGGATTTTCTGGAGATTATTACTGCGGAATGCTTGGATTGGGATCTAGGTCTGGAATTCGCGAAGATTCTAGATGAATCAGGAAGCGTGATTGTTCTAGGCAACATCGTGCACCTCAGGCCACAGAAGGTCAGTTTCTCATCTCATTACTTCCTACTAATGCGGTTAACTTTGGAACATTCTATGCTTTTAATACATCTTTTCAGTGTTAATTTGGAGACTACAACAGCAACTGATTACAGTAGTTTAGACTGTATGTAGAGCAGCTACACAAGATGAGATTCTTCAATTTTGCACTATCTTGCAGCTACATGTTTTGTTATTAGATCGAAAACTGATTGGCTCTTTTATGGTTGTGTTTGTGTTTTTCCATTCCACAGGAAAGTGAAACAAATGTTTTCGCACAACCAGATCTCTTGTGATGGTGACCTTAATTTGGGGGTGGCTGATTCGGCTGTATCGAACTTTAGGAATCTTTAATAGCCACACACTTTTAATAGGAAGATATATTGTGTGATAGTGAGAGTTGGATGTTTGGTTAGGGAAATTGGGGGTGGGGGGGGGGGGGGTGGGGGGGGGTATAGGGGGTAGGGATATTCAAGAGGTTTTTTTGTGAATCTACCTACGCAAGAAAATTCTTATTTGATACGGGAGAAAAATCTTGTTTTCTTTACGAGTTTGAAGTGGAAAACATGCAAGGAATTTCCGATTAAAGTATAGTTCTTCGTGATTAGGCATTCTTGAAATCCTTTGCAAGAAAATCCATATTGTTTGATAGGGGGGAATCTTGTTTTCTTTACGACTTTGAAGAGGAAAACATGGAAGGAATTTCCGACTAAAGTGTATTTCTTCGTGATTAGGCATTCTTGAAATCCTTTTCATTCTTTTTTTGGTTTAGAAAGGATTAGTTTGGTGAATATAAGTTTGGAAGAAATCTTATCCTCGGATTTTGATAAGCGAGAAATTTGGAAGATCGAAATCGATATGAATTTTGATCTCTCCCTTTCTCTCTGTTCTAAATTGTTTCTATTTTTCAAAAACTTTCATATATTGTGTATATATATATATATATATACTATTATGACCCCGGGGTAGAATGACGTTTGTTTTTTTACATTATTTCTATGTTTGCTTATATATAAGTATACTTATTACGCATATAAATTTGATTTTCATTAGGAACCATATAGTAACTCTTGATTATTTCAATTATTGTTCTTACCTACTAGAGCTTAAAGTTTTATCCCGGATAGTTTTACAACATCTTCGTCACTATAAATGATTACGAAAACCATATTGTTTTTCTCTAGCGATTGATCTATAAATGATGTTTCCGAATAAAACAATAAATCCAGGTTCTTGAAATGGAACCTTATTTTCACCGTCATATTGGTCTGCGCTTGTTGTTTTCTTACAGGTAGTGAAAGCCGTCGAAAAACATATCTCAACGACGCCCATATCCCCGAAAGATCCGAGAATGAAGGAGCTTCAAGAACTGGAGAAACAGATGGCGGCCATTGACAAAAAAGCATCGACACTTGTGAAACGAGAGCTCTGGTGCGGATTAGCTTATCTACTGATCCAAACCGGGGCTTTCATGAGGCTAACATTCTGGGAGCTGACGTGGGACGTGATGGAGCCCATTTGTTTCTACGTCACGTCGGGTTATTTCTTGGCAGGCTACGCGTTCTTCCTGAGGACGTCAAAAGAGCCGTCGTTCGAGGGGTTTTACCAGAGCAGGCTTAAGGCGAAGCAGAAGCGACTGATCGAGAAAATGAAGTTCGATGTCGAGAGGTACGAGGAACTGAAGAATTGTTGCTATCCTTCTTCACAGAGGCCATTTGAAGGTACCTTCACTCTCTCTAACTTGAGCTCATAGCAATTTGCTGCACAGTTGGAAGGAAGGATTGAACTTTTTTTTTTTTAAAAAAAAAAATGTGAAAAGATGCACAGACAGATTTGAAATGAACATAAACAGATGGTTAGGATAGTTGAATGAAATATATTGTCATTTTGAAGATGATGATGGTTGTGCTGCAATGAACCAGTGTATCCATTTTGTTTTTAATCATGGAAGGTTAAATAATCATTTTATGTGATTTTTTTTCTTTTATTAGTTTGACATTATTAGTCTATGTTATTTTTTAAGAAAAAAATCGTATCGATATGACGCCAAATAAGGCTGAATGATATTATTGGATATTGTATTGACAAGTAGACAAATATATGTGGACATAACTGATGACATATGACAACAATCTAGGTAACAATGAGTGTTTATATACTTTCTCCTGTCTCATATTTATATATTTATTTATTTTTTGTACGAAATTTTATAAATATTAGTATTATATTGGGATAAAGTAGAAATAAAGGTAAAAAGACTAAATTAATCATATTAGTATTGTATGATATAAAGGTAATGTCATTTGTGTAATATATTGTAAATTTGAAGAGTATTTGTAATGTTAGGTAGATAGTACAATTATTAAAAAAGAAAATGGATATTTTGTTATGGACAGACCAAAATGAAAAAAATGGATAGATTGTTAAGGGACGGAGGGAATATTTAACTTTGGGTTAGCTATAGTGCTGAATTTTAAGTGTTAAACATCATGCTATAATCTTAAAACACATTGTGTGCTGTCTGACAGCACACAATATTACTAAAGATAGCACACATTATTACTATAGATAAATATTGTACATATTAATATAATACAAATTCAGCACATGAACTAACAAATGGTCTCGTACAACACACAACAGATCTTTATTAAAAAAAACATGTAATACTAACGTGTGTTGTTTATATATATAACGCGTGCATGTGAAAAATCAACACCAATCAGCACCGTAACCATCCCTATTTAACTTATAAATATTACACAATTTCATTCATTTGATATTATTTATTTTTTAAAAAATATCCCTATTTAACTTATAAACATTACACAATTTCATTCAAATACTAATTTTCTTATAAAATTTAAAAAAATCTCAATCTAAACGAAGCCATGTGATTAAATACTTTTTAAATTAATTTTAAAAATCTATATTTAGGGGATTTCAATTCAAGAAATATCTATTAAAATTTATACTACAATCGAACAAACATCAAACACAAGCTATCGTTTTCTACAAGCATCTCTACATAAGTTGAGAGAACAAAAATGATTTCTCACTAAAATTAAATAGAAACTACTAGTTACATTTTCATCTTGATATTGACTTCGAGTTACAACACTTTATATATTAAATGTATTATATGCCAAAATTAAAAAAGGGATTATTTTTCATAACACATTAAATTTATTTTTTATCAAAATTATTACTAATCAAACACTTATTTTTATATATTGTGAAAATAATAATAATAATAATAATAATAATAATAAAATCATTCATACTGTACACGTAATATACTTGTATACAAAACATGATGCGACGTGGCCCACGGAAGTTCGTTCTTACTTTGCATTAAATGCATTTAGGGTGTGTTTGTTTGAGGGTTTGGATTTTGAACTGAAATTTGAATAGTAAAAATTTTGAATTTGAATAGTCGTATGATGTGATGTAAATAGATGTTGATGTGATGTTTTGAATATAAAATTAATTTTTAATATAATATAAAAAATAAAAGTTAAATATTTGATTTGATGTTTTTGGAAAAAAAAATAAAATAAATAATATAAATCCAATCCAATCCCGAAACAAAGACACCCTTGTCCTTAATATATTCATACATACATCTTCATCCATAATATCTATAAGAATATATATACATATACTATATATATTTATACACACGTTGCGCTGCACACACTTATATATTATATATACACACACCGCCGTACATATATATATATAATACTCCCTCCGTCACACACCGCCGTACATATATATATATATAATACTCCCTCCGTCCGTCTCTGACGATTACATTTACCTTTTGCGTCATTGTATTTAACATTAAAAATATCCTTATATTTGTATAATTTTTTATACAAATATCTTTTTATTAATATTATAGGATACAAATGTAATTATTTTTGCAATTTTTTTTTTTAATTTATACTAAATTTTGATATAATAATTAATATTCAAATATCAACATGTAAAAAATAAATAAAACCCTTAAAACCGGAAGGAGGTAGTATAAAACAGTGATTAGCGGTGGAAATAATTAAATTTATAATGACTAATCCTATATTAATATTACAACAATTCAAAATATTTATTTTAATTCAAATTATTACTAGTCTCAACTTTCAAACCAAACATCCTTAAAATCCATCACATTGCAACTAAACGATTTCCTAATATGGGTTTGTCCTTTTTAGTTTCTTTTGTCTTTTTAACTATTCACTTATCACTCTATTTCTCAATTAATATATATATATATATATATTCCCCCGTTCCAATGAAACGGTGACATTTGTTTTTTGTACGTGAATTTTTTAATATTAGTATTATATTGGATTGTAAAGAAAAAGACAAAAATATCCCTATTAGTATGGTATAATATAGAAGTAATGATATCTCTGTAACGTACTGTAAATTGAAAGGGTATTTATTATGTTAGAAAGGTAATACAATTATTAAATTAAGAAATAATAACCTTGTTTTGGGACGGACGAAAAAAAAAATAGTAACCTTTCAATGGGACGAAGGGAGTATATATATTGTCAAATTATTATTAAACTAAAACTTAATTATATATATAAATTATTAAACTAAAACTTAATATTATATATGTATATATATATATATATATATAAATCCTCAAAAATTGAGAGCCCAGATGGTTATAAAAGAAGGTTTACCTATGGATTTTAAAGGTTTTTAGATTTGTGGTTTATAATTTACTTCTCATTTAAATAATAAATAAATAAATAATAAATAATTGTTCATTGATTTCCAATCAATGATGATCTGAAAAAATATTCCTACAAAAATATTATAGAACATGCTTTAGATCACATTTTCTATTTGTTTTGCATGTATGTTTTTTAATATTAGTATTATAATAGATTGTAGTAAAAAAGACGAAAATATCCCTATTAGTATTGTGTAATATAAAAGTAATGACATTTGTGTAATATAGTGTAAATTGGAAGGATATTTATTATGTTAGGTAGGTAGTACAATTACTAAATTAGAAAACAGTAACCTTATTTTGGGAAGGGACGGAGGAAGTATTATGTTTTTAAAAACAATGTGAGACAATTAACAAAACTTTATGTTAATTATCCTATAAGTTTTTAATTTCTTAATAATCATTAAAAATAATGGTAACACATTGTTTCAATATTAAGCCCAATTAAATCCATTAATTAAATTCAAACCAATGATAATCATATCTTTATGTTTTTTTTTTTTTTTTTTGCTCGGCTCAAATTTTGTCGATTGATATCATCCAATTAACGAGAACAATGAAGATGTCTATAATTGAGCCAGATATCTAATAGAGTTCTTAACATGTCAAGATAAGTAACTTGCGATTTTAAAATTTTCATAGTCAACATTAGATGATGTACTGGTGAACTAGTTGTCATAATGCATTCAACTATTCTATTTTAATATAAATTTAGTCAATAAAAATTTAAATATCACTATTTTATTTTTATTTTTCTCATATTTTGACCATAAATTAGTGTTTGGATTCATATGTGGTTTATTTGAAGCAACACTCACTTCACATTTATATAGTAATTATTTCTCAAATATCTAGCTGTACCTGTAATGATTTTTATGGGTTATTGACTTAACCCCGCTACATATATATACTAAATTACACTCGTTTTTTTAGAAAATGACAATTGAGTGTTGGCGTAGGATTTTAACAACTTAGTTTTTCGTTGAACCAAGATTGAAATTACACTCGTTTCTTTTAGAAAATGACAATCGAGCGTTTAGTTAAGATTTTTACAATTTGTTTTCTTATTGAATCAAAGTTTTAAAATTTTCAAATAATTTGGTTGATTTACCACTATAATATTGTAAATTTTAAAGCAATTGTCTCTAAATTGAATTTTGAAGGATTTCTTCTTGTAATATAAGTAAAAGTCAAAAATATATTTAAGATATATGACTAAGTCACACTATTGCCATTAGCCACACTTTTTATCTTTACATATAAACTCATCACATTATGTGTTAACAAGCCATGTGAGATACTTAAACAAAATTTGATGCTTATTATCTTAGAAAACTTTCAATAGTAATCTTTTAAAACAATGTAACATATATTTTATTAGGAGTTTTGTAGTAAATTAAGAAATAATAGTATTTTATTGGTTAACAGGAAGTGTGTAAGAGATTTTGACATTGTTGTAATTTGACTTTTTATATAAAATAACTGTATGTATAATTATATATTTGTAATTCAAGTAGAAATTAAGAAGTATTTCAAATAGTATTTTAAATTGGGATAGAGAGACTATATTGTTTGTCCTTTAAGCACAATCAAACTCACTAATCAAGTCCAATCCATGATATATATATATATATAGTCATATCATTTTTTTTTTTGTTTATTCATCGATTTTAAAATTTTGCAAATTTAAATTTTAAATTAAATTGTATAAATTATTTTTGTCCGATTTATCAGTGATAAAACATATAAAAACTGATTGTTTGTTTAGTAGATGGTCTTTTTTGTGTAATATAAAAAAATACACCATCTGTCTCATTTACTATGTCCATGTTACCATTTCTGTCCGTTCTACATCTCATGTCACTTTCCTTTTTTGGAAAATGATTACCCATTTTAATCTTCTTTTTAAATTTTTTAATTTAATTTTAATTAAACTGATTATTTATCTTAATCTTAATCTATAATAATTTATATTATAAATTAATTATTTTCATTAATATATTCTTAATTATTTACTGATTGTACTTATCTTAAATTCTCGTGTCTACAATGACCAAGATACTCATTGTGGGACGGAGATAGTAATATTTTTAATTTGTTTGGACCACCGACAATTATTTTTAAATATATATATATATATATTAAAGATTCAATTTCGAAACGTGCAGCAGACCTACCAACTAATTGCCATCCATTTACTACTTTGATTGAAAATCTTTCATTATTTATTATTTAGCATAAGTTTATAGCAAAATACGATTTTGATTGTTTGGTTTTGATTTAAATTTTGAAGAATATATAAGCAATAAATTTAACATCACATGATGTTCGTGACAATAGTTCATACAATACATGTCACGGTTGATTTCAGCGGAAAATATATATTAACAAAGCACACACATATTTGATATGAATCAACATTACACGACAATAATATATACACGCAATACATGCTGATTTATTTCAAACCGTGCAACGGTAATTCGTTATTCATGTCCTAATTAGGGCTAACTAACCACACACAATTTATTTCACCTCAACCAATAGTAGCATTAAAGATATCGAAGTTTATCTTCTTTGATCCTGTTGAGATATTTTAGATATTCAGTTTTAGATTTAGTAGATTTATATCTACATTTGATCTTATTCATAGATTAGATTACTTAGATTTTTGAGTCTATCGAGTCTGTTTTGTATTGTCTATATATATAGGTTCTTTATTTTGATGATCAATAAGACCATCTTATTATTTTCCCCCAAAATTTCTAACAGATGCATTGTATGATGTTTCTTTGATTTAAAATTTTGTTGCTTTGGCATTTTATTTCATTTTTAATTTTAAGTATCGATTATGAGAAATATTTAGTTAGGGTATTTCGAAAGGACTCTAAATATGAAGTATTTTTCCATAAAATAGAGGAAATGCAAAGTTGTGTAATCTAGTCATTTGTTTTACTTTTTGTTATACTTCATCCGTCCGTCCACCGCCTATCTATCTGTTTACTTTTTGTACGTAGATTTTAGTATATTAGTATTATATTGATATATGGTACAACTGATATACATAAAGACTATTATATCCCTTAACATTTATGGTATTAAGTGGTGTTATTTGATGGCATTTGTGTAATATTATAAAAAGGGTGGGATAATTTTATATTTTAGTGGAAGGTACATTTACTAAAAAATGAAATAGATACATTTGCGATGGACAAACTAAAATGACAAAATAAATAGATTGGCGGTGGACGGAGGCAGTACATTTTTTTGTGTATTTTTTTGATGAAGTTTGAAGAATTTTTGTTTGAATTTGGTATTAAAATAATATACAATGGAATATTTAGTATAAATTTGAAGTTGGACGCAAAAGAAACACACTTGAATCATTTATTTTTTACATTTAATAAAAATGAAGATACATTAGTATATACTCTCTTCGTCCGCCTCTAAAGTTATATTTATCTTTTGGATCATTATTTGTATTTAACATTAAAAATGTCTTTATATTTGTATAATATTAATTTGTACAAAATTATTTTATTAGTATTACAAGACACTAATAAATACAATTTTGTCATCATTTTATTGATTTGTACTATATTTTGATATAATGATTAATATTCAAATATCATTGCGCAAAAAGTAAATGTGAACCTTAAAATCGGACCAGAGGAGTAATATTTTAATTCAATTGTATTTATATTTTATGTCGTTATTTTATTAATATAGTTGTGATTTTATCATTATTTTTATTTATTTTTTTTAAATCTATTAATTTTCACATAAAATATAATCAATTAAATAATTTATTACTATTATTATTGTTTAAAAATTAATATTGTATAATTTGAATTTATGGATAATTTATTTTTGAGGTTAGTATGTCTAAATAAATAAAAGTTATGTAATTATTTATATATATATATATTATAGAATATTTATTTTATAAAGAAAAAATAGAATGAATAGGTGTGAAGTTAAAATTTAAAGGAAAAATTGAATAATAATAATAATAATAATAATAATAATAATAATAAAAAAGTATTCAATAGGAGATGGTTTTAAGATTTATTTATTTTTGTATTTTTATTCCTAATATTATTTTATTTTATTTTATTCTATTTCTAATATTTTGTATTTACGAAGATGTATTCCTTACGCCGTTAACATTAACAATGCATTATTCATTTTCATTTTCATTTATGCATTTTTACTTCAAAGATTTATAGATGAGTGCCCTGAAATAAAATCGACTACATATAGGTCTCTTTTAATTTGTTAATGATTATTATATATTCTCTCAATCATGCAAATGTGTGCTCATTTGATCGGGCACGAATTTTAATAAAAATAAGTAATAATTGTTAATTTTTTCTTTTATAGTAAAAAACAGTACAAAAGTAAAATAATTTTTTACTTAAAAAAAATAAGAATATTTTTCAATGACAATCCAAAAAGAAAAATGAGTAACGGAGAAAATACAATATATTTAGTTTTAATAAAAAAACTTAAATATTTTTGATAACATAGGAATCCACAATTATCAAATAGACAAGTGTACCGGGAGACTTTGAGAATTTTTAAATTTAAAATCTCAAAGTAACAAATCAATCCCTACACTACTAACCATCTCTTATAAGACAATTATTTTCATTTTTCATATATTCATTTTTAGTACATAGTAAAAAAATTAAGAATGTGATAATATTTTGCGAATAAATATTTGATAGTATGATATTTATTTGTTTATTAACTTAATACGCCACCTGTTCCCAAAATAATAGTGCAATTTTCTATTTTCGTCCCATCTCAAAACAAAAATATCATTTTCTAGTTTAAAATTTATACTATTACTTATTTAATATAATAAATATCTTTTCGAACTTACGATTTATTACACACATATTATTTTTATACTCACTCCGTCATCTTCTAAAGGTCACATTTATCTTAAAAATATTATTATATTTGTATAATTTTGTGTATAAATGTCTTTTCTATTGATATTATAAGATACTAATAAAAATATTTTTGTAATTTTTTTTATTTGTACTACATTTTAATATAATAATTAGTATTAAAGATCAAATGCAAAAAATAAATGAGAACTTTAGAGCCGGATGAAGTAGAATTATACAGTACTATAAGGGTATTTTTGTTTCTTTATTGATTTATATTTAGATATCATTATACTACTAATATTTAAAGTTTAGGTTGTTGTGAAAAATGTAGACTACTTAATTTTTAGTGACATTTTTTAAAAAATATATATATTTACTTAGGGTGTGTTTGTTTGAAGGATTTTGGTAGATTTTCACTATTCATCCAATTTTTTCCCTCCAAAAACATCAAATCAAACACCTATTTTTCATTTTTTATATTATACTAAAAATCAATTTTACATTCAAAACATCACATCAAACCCTATTTATATCACATCATACAACTATTCAAATTCAAAATTTTTACTATTCAAATCCCAATTCAAAATCCAAACCCCCAAACAAACACACCCTTAGGGTGTGTTTGAATAGTAAAAATTTTGAATTTGAATAGTTGTATGATGTGATATAAATAGGTGTTGATGTGATGTTTTGAATATAAAATTAATTTTTAGTATAAGATAAAAAATAAAAAATAAATGTTTGATTTGAAAAAAAAAATGGAATAAGTGGATTGAAAATCCAATCCTCAAACAAACACACCCTTAATATAGTGACATGGCATTCCATTCCACGCTGAAACGGTACACATATACATTACATTCCACATACAAATAGTACTACTCCATAATCTATTTATTTTAAAACAATATTTTAAATTTAACGTATTTCCTAATTGTATTTTTCTACGATTACAGTAATATGTATATACGTTTAAAGTTTTCAACTAACCAGAGAGTAGCCGAATCTCACCTCGATCAGTTCTCCGCTCCGGCGGCGGCGCTCCGGCGCCTTTTAGCGTGGAAATTGAGGAAGAGGAAGAGAACCGCGGCGTTGAGAACCGAATTGAAGAGCCAAGCTCCGATTCCGTTGCATCCGCCGCCTTTGAGGTAGTGCAGCGAGAGGACGCCGACATGGCAAACCAGATTGCAACAGAGGAGGAGGATCTGGCAGTTGACGACGAAGGGGAAGCACGCGCTCCGCAGTCCGATCGCCGTCCAGAACCGGTACCCGTAGACGGCGGCGTAGACGAGCGAGGTGAGGAGGATGGAGAGGATCTGGAACGACTGAGAGAATTCGAGCCAGAGGAAGGAGGAGCAGATGAGGATCGAGTGGTTCACCAGATTGAACCACGCCAGATTCCGGTGGCGGAGGACGGTTATATACGCGCGGAGCGCGTGGAGGTAACGCGACAGGTAGTACACGTACGACCAGAAGAACACGCGCCCCGAGGGGCGCGTGCCGACCGGGAAGCATAGGAGCCACTGAAACGGCGTCGTTTTGGACCGTGACCGGCGCCAGAGCCACCGCGTGTCGCGAATCTCCGCGGCGGTGGAGAGCAGGATTCCGGCGAAGATGGTGGCGGAGATTAGAGCCATCGCGAGGGAGTGGACGGCGGGAAGGGGGCCTAGGGGGATACGGCGGCGGCGGAATATGAGGAGGGTAAAATGGAGGACGGCGGCGCCGGCGACGTAGAGGGTAATGGCGGCGAAGAGGAATGACCACGTGGAGCCCCATGATTGGGCGTGGCTCCACCGGAAGCCGACGATGGAGGGGTGCTCCGATAGGTAAGACCTTATGCCGTTAAAGTAGGACGCCATACACGACGAATCTCGACCGTCGATCTGCCGAATCCACCGTTTGCCGACGGATCAACAGAACAAACGGCGTTAATTCCTTTTAGGTAAGACGCGCTTTTCAAATATATAGAGAAAGTCGTGATTTCAGATTTGGCGGTGTAGGTGAATATAAAGAGGAAGGAGGGGACACGTGGATCGTTTCCATTGGTCAGAGCGCCACTACTCGCTACTGTATTTTGGTCTAATTTTTAACTCGTGTGCAATTTTTTAATGATATATATATATTATTTAAATGGAATGGAATTTTTTATATTTTATGCAATGAATACAAATTATTTATTAAAGAAAGAATTACACTCAAAACCGACCATTCAAATATTTTTTTTGGACATCCATCCGTGCTACATGAAATTATTAATTAAGTATATTGATCAAATTAACAACAATTTAAGTGATCTCACGTTTAAATAACTACTAAAATTTATTATTATTTAAATTATTATTATTATTATTATTATTATAAAGCTGTAAATCAACGAGTTTCTTGGTTCCAGTTCAAGTGACGGTGAGGTTGACAAAATTTCTAAGGAATTAATCGAAATATTCAATAACAATAAATCAAAATAAATATTTAATACAATAATTAACTCCCTGCGTTTTTTTTTCACGTACATTTTTTAATATTAGTATTATATTGAATTGGAGTAAAAAAGACAAAAATGTCCCTATTATGAAGGTGTAATATAAAAGTAACGACATTTATGTAATATTTTATAAATTAAAAGAATATTTATTATATTAAGTAGGTGATATAATTACTAAATTAAAAAATAATAATATTTTTTTGGGATAAATGAAAATAAAATATGGTAACTCATTGGGATTGAGGGACTAATATAAAAATAATATTTTTAAATAAAAACACACCAAAAACAAAAAAGAAACACACCATTGCAATCTATCATAATCATTGGTGTCGACTGTCGAGTAGAGTTAAGGTGTCTTTGTTGGGAGTTTGGATTTTGGAGTGAGATTTGAATAATAAAAATTTTGAATTTGAATAGTGGTATGATGTGATATAAATATGTATTGATGTAATATTGTAAATGTAAAATTAATTTCTAATATTTCCTCCGTCCCAATACAATAGTGTTGTTTACCATTTTGGTCCGTCTCAAAACAATAGTCTTATTTCCATAAATAATCATATCATTATAAAACTACTATTACTTTTTCATTATTATTACATAATTGCCACTACTTTTTACACTAATATACTCACAAGGGCAAAAAATATTTTTCATAAGTATTTTTTACCCACTGTCAATATAATATTAATATTTTTTAAATTCCGTGCCGAACACAACCCAGATTATAGTTTTGAGACGGAGAGAGTATAATATAAAAAATAAAAAATAGATATTTAATTTGATATTTTTTGAAAAAATTTTTGTGCCGATAGTATAAATCCACACAAATCCAGGAAACAAATGCACCCTAATCAATCAATATCAGTATATACTCCCTCCGTCCCAAATACTATGTTCACGTTGCCGTTTCTGTCCATCCCACATACCATGTCACTTTCCTTTTCTTTAAAAATAATTACACATTTTAATCTCATTTTAATTTATTTAATTTTATTTTTTTTTAATTTTAATTAAACTAATTAGTTATCTTAATCTTAATTTATAATTATTTATATTATATAATAATTATTTTCACTAATACATTCTCAATTACCTACTAATTATATCCCTTCTAAAATTCCGTGTCTACAGTGTAGCGGAGACGGTATGTGGGACGGAGAGAGTAATAAATAAAGCACCAAATTAAACCAACATGGAGTGGTGTTCACTTGTATTTTTTTTTTTTAATCTATTTTTATACACTTTAATTCTTACAAATTTTTTTAAAGAAAAAAATAGTTATAAATAATTTTTATTTTAAAAATTACAGTAAAACATTTAAATTTAAAACAGAATACAAATAAATTAATAAAACTACCTGGCCGGTGAATATAATAATATTAATACTACAAGAATATATCACAGTCAACTTAAATATTACTGTATGATTGTCTATTTATTTATAGCCACAAAAAACACAACACAACAATGACATCACTAAATATTATGATGTGATTTAATTAATTACTGGTGCTATTGCTATTGATATACTCATCATTAAATCCTTTCATTATTATTCCCTTTAATTTAAATTAATAAATAATTAAAAATATATTAGTAAAAATATTATTATATAATAAAAATAATTTTAAATTAAAATTAACATAACTAATTAATCTAATTAAAATTGAAAAAACTATAAATTAAAAAGGAAATAAAAAAATATATATATATATATTTTTTAAAAATGACATAATAAGTCCAACATACCCAAACGAAAAGATGCATATAGTAAATGGGACGAATTGATTATTATTATTATTGAATGCGTGTGAGTAACAATAACCCCCACTTAATTAATTTAATATACTCTCTCGTTCCAATACAGTAGTCTTGTTTATTATTTTTTATCTGTTTCAAAACAATAGTCACTACTTTTTTTTTTTCTATAAATAATCATATCACCATAAAACTTACTCCTACTTTTTCATTTTTATTACACAATTGTCACTATTTTTTATACTAATATATTCAAAGAACAAAAAAAAAATTTATCCATATTTTTTACCACAACTACCGATATAATATAATATTCTTTAAATTTCGTGTCCAACCAATTATGACTATATTTATGAAATAGAGAGAGTATTCAATAGGAAATTAATTCCATAGGGCAAACATCAACGTCCCTTTCCTTAATTAGTGGGAAAACAAAGATCAATGAACGAGTAAATTAATTAATGATGAGTGTGTTTCTTGTGACTTTGAAGAAAATAAATTTACATTTGTAATTACAATAATATTCGATAAAATATTTTTTATATATATTTTTTAAGGGCATAGAATCCAAATAATAAAATATGAAAAAAAAAAAATCTAATATTTGATTGATAGAGTGAGTGAATGTACATAAACTACTGCAGAGGATATTATACTAAGTACGTCAAATTTGACCTAATCCGATACTACAATAATAATACTCCCTCCATCCCAAATATCATATCCACGTTGCAGTTTCTGTCCGTCCCACATACTATATCACTTTCCTTTTTTGGAAAATGATTATACACTTTAATCTCATTTTAAATTTTTAAATATTATTTTTTTTAATTTTAATTAAACTAATTAGTTATCTTAATCTTAATTTATAATTATTTATATTATAGGATAATTATTTTCACTAATACATTCTTAATTATCTACTAATTACATTCCTCCTAAAATACCGTGTCTACAGTGTAGCATACGTTATCTGGGACGGAGGGAGTACAATATATATATATATATATATTACATATTTTAACAATATATTATATAATAATTATTTTTTCCTTTTCTTTCTACATATTACTATGACTATGAGTTGAGTTAATAATAATGAAAACATATGTTTTAAAGTAAGATCAGCAGTAAAAAATCAGACATATATATATATATATATATATTCTGAAAGAAATAAACAAAAAAAAAATAAAATTGATTGAACATTGATATAGAAAAAAGTGAAAAGTTGGACAATTTTAGCTATTAGAACTTATTACCATATTGTAAAATACTATAAATAACAAATAAAAATACAATATACAAGTGAAAAGTACTAATACTTGCTCTTATTTTATATGTGTACTATAAATTTATATCTAATATATTATCTAATACTCTCTTCGTCCCAATATAAATTTATCATTGTTGTTCGTCATAAAATAATAGTCTCATTTTCATAAATAATCATATCACTATAAAACTACCTTTACTCTTTCGTTATTATTACACAATTGCCACTACTTTTTACACTAATACATGACAAAAAATATTTTATCTGTATTTTTTACCCATTATCAATATAATATCAATATTCCTTAAATCCCGTGCAAAACACAACCCAGGCTATACTTCTGGACGGAGGGAGTATATATTATTGTGCTATCATTTGGTAACCATATGTTCGAATTTGGAAGTGAGAGTCCTCGTAATCTTTTTTTTACTTTTTTTATTGTCTAGAGTGTTTGTTTTGCCATTGGTTTTACATATTACCAGCCAATGCAAGAACATAATTGATCTATTATGAATCAATTCTCTGCTGATCCAATCTTCAATAACTCATATTGACACTTGTTCTTTTGTAAATTTTACCACATATTTTTACTATTCAATTTTTTTTTTCAAAAACATCAAATCAAACAATTATTATTTTTTTTTATATTATATTACAAATTTATTTTATATTCAAAACATTACATCAATATCTATTTATATCTCATCAAACAACTATTCAAATTCACGCGACTCACATTTTACTATTCAAAAATCAAAACCCACAAAAATAACAAACCTCTCCTTTGTAAGATGTTATCAAAATACTTCAGACCTCATGCGACGACGTAGATGCGTTTTTAATGTGCTCAAATGTTACAAAGTCTTCTTATCCGTCTTCTTCTGATCCCGATGAGCAACCTTAACTACTTCCGTAGCATCCTCTGCAAATGCAAGAATTCTATTATTAGATGACATCTACCAAATTGTGAACAAAATGTTCATTTCGATCAACTAACCGACAATTTTTTCCATTGTGAAAAGAAACCGATGATTGGATGGTGTTGGTCATCATGACAAGTCATATACGATCCTTTAGCTCTGATATCGAATTGTAGAAACTATGGATTGACAAGTAAAATCTGAAAGTTGGTCTAGAAATATGAGAAGTTCTACTAATGAAACAACTATTTTACACTATACCATAAATCCTAATAACTAATTTCCCCGCTAGTGAATTAGGATTAAGATTAAATCCAATGGTGAATTTGAGAGATAACATGGCACAGCCGGTGGCGAAAGGGTTTAAGCAAATGAAAAGCTTACGACTATGATGAAACATTTTCCTATACGGCCCGAATTGAGACGATTAGGTTAGTAATTTCCATAACAACTCAAAGGCAATGAGAATACACCAAATGGATGTCAAGTCGGCATTCCTGAATGGAACACTTGATGAGAAAGTTTATGTAACGGGTGTGTTTGTTGGGGGAATTCTCCCCCAAATACACTATTCATCCCATCCCAAAAAAAAAATCAAATCGAACACCTATTTTTTATTTTTTATATTATACTAAAAATCAATTTTACATTCAAAATATCACATCAACACCTATTTATATCACATCATACAACTATTCAAATTCAAAATTTTTACTATTCAAATCCCAACTCAATCCAAACCCCCAAACAAACACACCCTAGCTTGGATGAACGAAAGAGTACAAGTGGTTAATGCTTGACTCTAGGCAATACGATGTGCATTTGGTCATCAAAGAAACAATACGTCGTTGAGATATCAACCCATGAGGCTGAATATATTGCAACACCATAAAGTGTATGCCAAGTAGTTTAGGGCCGTTTGTATTGGTTTAAAAATGTATTGGTTTAAAAACTTAAGAAGAAACATAAGGTAAAACTAGAAGTAATTTGATTTTATGTTTGAATTAATTTATATAAAATGGCGTTTTAGAAAAAAAAAAAATTGCTTGAATGTAAGAAAATTAAAGCGCTTTTAAATTGTTAAAATGATCTAAATCGAAAAATTATTAATGTAAAAAAAAAAAAAACACTAAAGTAATTTTAAACTTTTGTTTTTTGTTTTTTTTGTTTTTTTTTTCAAAATTACCCATAGTGTACTTCTAAGAAAATACTTTTTAACTTTAAAAGTTACTTGCGCTATTTGTCCCGAAAAAATCAATACAAACATGAGTAGAGTTCTTTTAGAAGCCAAAAGCCCCTTTAATAAAACAATCCAAACGGGGCATAGCTTCGCAACTTAATGAGCCAACTTGGTTTGCAAATGCAGGGCCTAATAAAGCTCCATGTCGACATGCTTCAGCTATTAACATAGCTAAAAATCCAGTATTTCATGGCAGAAGCAAACATATGGACATACGATATCATTTTTTGAGAGAGCAAGTTAACAAGAATCTAATCAAGTTGACGAATTGCAAAAACAGAAAATCAAGTGGAAGACATCATCATAGAGCCACTGAAGAGTGAAGCTTACAACTTGGAGTGAAGACACTGTAAATCATAATTAAGGGAGAATATTGACTGAGCTAATGAGTGAGTTATGATTTATTGTAGTTATTTAATTCTGTCTTTTACCTAGTGTTTAGCAATAGGAATCGTCGTCCTAATTCGCATGAAGTGGGACAGTTAGGTATTAGAAGTTATGGTAAAGTGTAAAATGATTGTTTCATTAGTAGAACTTCTCTCAATTCATATCTATACACTTCCTTTAAGACCTTGTTTCTCAGTCCTTAGATTCGACAGGGCTAATCCATTGTCCAATCAAGTCCATGCAACTTTTATTAAGTTAATGGATGCTTCACTTGAAAAGGAAGAAACAGGGAGATATGCCGGCCAAAGTTAAGAACTAGGAATAGAATATATTCAAGAAAATGAAGAAGATGGTCATATAAATAAAGGAAGAGTGTAGGAGGAAAAAAGGTTCAATATAACCATAAATTATTTCATCCTTCCATTTTTATTGATTTTTGTCATAGTTTTACTAATTTACATAGTAATCTTTCATATGGAACAACCTTGCTTCACACATACTATCGGGATTCGTATTGAAATGTCGAGAATCCCACACATTTCACTTTCCCAAATATTTTTAGACCAGAATCATTTCAAGTCAACAAATTTAGATAGCTTTTGATCTATTTTATGCATACATGTTTTTGTTTGAAGTGTTCATAAAAATTAATAAATTTTGTATATAGAATGATATGAAAAGCAAAAATGCAAATAAAAAAAAAGTTGCGTATGTTAGAAACCTTACAAAGAAGAAAGCATAACAAAAGATTTGGATAGAAATAGTAATAAATTTGGTCTTTTGGGTGTACCCGGACCATCAGGGTGGGTTTACACAAACCCCGCCAAGTTGCCATCCCTTAAAAATATTAATGCTAGCCAATTCCAGGATGAGGATAGAGAAGAGTAGCTCAGACTTATTCGATGCTTCATTAAACTATATTCAACTAGAGTAGAAGTCAAGTTCAAACTGCTTATCTCACATATCAAATCAAAATCAGGCATTATAAACACACACTCGAAAAATATTGACTAATTAGTGACGGATTTACTGGTTAAAGTATGCATAGCAAGTCTGCAATTAAGATCTGCAAACAATTGTTAGATTCAAGCTCAACCTTGTATGTTTTGCTAAAATTCATGCTAAATCAGTTGCTCATGTTTAGTTTGATTATACTTTATCTCACTTCAACTAATTACACATTCCTAAGCAGCATTATCAAATTTATCATGTGTACGTTTCCGACAGACTGCAAAAAACATGATTCCAGAAATAGGACACCAAAAACAAGGTTCAGTGCTTGAATGCAGTACCTGGTCAGGTATAGTCTCAAGATCCTGGAATCACCCTCAAGAGTGAATGCACAATACTAGACACCAATGGCAGTCTCTAACCCTCCCTGCAATTGAAATTATCATGAATTGTTCCAAGTAGGCTATAATAGATTATCTGTATCATTTGCATGATACATCAATTTCTAGCTTATATTTTAACTTTTGCATAAGAAAAGGCGTTAGCACTACTCACTGGATTTATAACTCCTTGGAGAAATGGGCTATGAAATTAAAGGCACAGTTGTTGTCCATTTTTGGGTGTGAAGATGCCCATTCATTGGCAGTATCGAGTTAGCAGTGATAGATCTAATCATTTGAAAGAAGGTACCGAAGGCTGAAGCTCGTCAACCTCTATATGTGCATTAGCATTCCAACCAAGAAGCAAGCATGAATTAAGTTAGCCCAATTATCTGTTCATCTGTTCAATGATGCTTCTCAATCCAGATCTGTAACTAGGATGAAGCAAATTCACTCCCAATTCTTTCTTCATACGAGCATTGGAGACTCGTTTCTCTCCCATTGCAGTTTTCTGTATAGGGAGTGGTTCAGCAATTTCAGGACATGCATTGATTTTTAGATGTCCCGGAAGATTTTTCTTTACCAATTTCTTAGCATATTCAAATACTTCAGCTCGAGGGGCAGGATCATCATCCACTATGTTGTATATTTTCCTGAGATGAAGCACACATACGTATATTGAAACTTGTTTAGTTTGAGGTCGGCTCTATCAAAGCAGATATGCTACATACTCAACGGGTCACTCAATCTATCATCAAACGTTTCAAATAATTGAACAATGACATCTTTCAGGAAAAATGATTTTTTATTGAAAGGAATCTTATCAGTTATCAGCATCTTTTACTGGTTTAAGCTACAGGGATCATAACATACCCGGGAGATGGCCTCAAAATACTCGCATGGAGTGCTTGAAAAATGTCAGCCACATGAATGCGAGAGGTATAACTTTTAAGTAATCTTGTTTTCTGACCATCTGAGAGATGCTCTTGTTTCAATATTGTATCAACAGCACTTCAAACAAGCATAGAATGTAAAAGGTCAACACTGAGCTCTACTTCAACCTTATCAAGGTTTTTTAATGTGCAATCTTCACTACTGGAAACGTGTGAGCTGTAGAAAACATCTACTCATCATACTAACCTTCTACCAGGACCATAAATACCTCCAAGTCGAAATACATGTGCTGCAATACTAAGATTCTGCCCCAACCTTAACCATTCTTCTTCTGCAGCTAATCTTGCTCGGGCAACTTCACTCACTGGCTTGGGAGGATAACTGGCACGAGATAAATGACAAGTGTTGTCGGCACCTCAGAACGACCACAAAAAGTATACAGCAATGGAAAACTTACTCTTCATCCACCCATGAACCACCATAATCTCCATATACACCTATATGTAAATAAAAGACAACTCAAATAACAAATGGGTAATTCGTGTAAACAATAAAACAAAAACAAAACAAAAAAGAGAGCAAATCATATATATTTCCCTATTGGCGCTACTGAAGACTGCGCTAGTAACAGATGAACAATGAACGTACTAGTTGATGACAAGTAAGCCAGCCATTGGATTCGTCCACTGCTCAATATGCCTTCCAATAGTCCTCTGTGACGCAGCATCTATGAAACATACTTACACTTAGCAGTTGGACTAACAATGGAACAGCACATAACAACTTGCAGTAAGTTGAATTAAATAATATGTGAAATTAACTTGCCGGATCACCAATTCCAACAACAGGAGGGATGGAGATGATAAGATGTGTATGGTTTTTCAAAATCTCCAGAATTTCATCTCTGCAAAATATATAAGAAGCAGAATTTGTCACTCCCAACACTAGCATGGCAAGGTGTTACTGCGGAAAGTAAAATACTAAATCGAGCAATAGTGAGAGGGGAAAAGAGCTTTAGAATTCAAACATAATTCCAGACCAAACATCTGAAACAAAATTGACAATGGAAACATAACTGAAGAAATTACTATAATCTCTGCTTGGATCAACCTAGCTTGTATATAAAATTTAACCCCTTTACAGTAGTGAATTCCTACGGTGCAAGCCCTGAGGACAATCAAAATCTAACTATACATACTACATACGACCTGGGCTTGAATTTCTATTTCAATTAACAAGTATTGCTTTAGGTCATTGGCCAAATTCGGTTCTTTGGTGACAACTGACAACGCCTACACTAGTTGATATACATATATACATATATGTATGTATAGATCATAGAACAAATGCGCTAACTGCAGTCAATAAACTTCAGGAAAACATTGTCAAGAAGATACGAACCAATTAAAAATCCAAAATAATTTAAGAGTAATGGTGGAAATTGTTACTTACTCAGGATTGTTTGCATCAAATAGATACGAATGATGCCCCAAATCTTCAAGCATTTTTTTCTTGGCCGCACTCGTACAGCTTCCACTCACCGCCCTTCAACATAGAAGAGCAAACACATCGACGGCTTGTGAGAAAACGAAACAGACAACTGAAATCCATCAAATTCATTTCGCTCCACGGATGACAGAACACGTCTTATCTCTCTTACCAGCCTCTGGTCTTCAATTCGGCAGCGACAAATCGTCCTACGAAACCCGTTCCCAACACGAACATCCGATCGCCCATCGACAATTCCCCCGAATTTTCTGAGTTCGGTAAAGCGCTGCATCTTACTGTTGCACTGCCGAACGCGGGCACGCGATCTAATCGAGGAATCATCGGCGGGAAACGCCTCGGAATGCAGCAAATCTCCATGCTCAACGGACAACGATCACGCGGACAAAATTACTTAGCGTTGGATTTTAACGGACCTAAATGTTGAATCTCACTCGATGGGAACGACGCCGTTTTATGCATGAGTTGAGGTTTGTTTGGTTTTTTTTCTTAGATTGAACGTAAATAAATAAATAATGCAAATTTTTACTATTTATTTAAATTTATTTGTAACTTTTTAAAAAAATTAAAAACAATGTGAAAGTATTAAAGAATGTATTTAAACAGAAAGTTTTGAAATATTGGAATATTGAAGAAAATTTAAAACTAATAAAAAAATTAATATTTGATGTATAATATTATGAGATAAAATAAATTTATTCCCTCTGTCAGCCTCCAGGGATCACATTTACATTTTGCATTATTATATTTAAAATTAAAAATATTTTTTATATTTATATATATATTTTTAACAAATATCATTCTATCAGTATTACAAGACACTGATTGAAGTATTTTCGTAATTATTTTATAATTTGTATTACATTTTTATATAATAATTAATATTTTAAAAAACGCTCAAAAAGTAAATAAGACCTATAGAGCTGAATGAATGTAGTATTTGATAGGAGGTTTTTAGAAAAATAATATTTATTTGGTCTCATTTATCGTGTTTATATTGTTGTTTCCGTCCGTGTTCCACGTTTCATGTCATTTTTTTTAAAAAAATTACATATTTTAATTTTTTTAAAAATTTTAATTTTTAAAATTTTAATTAGACTAATTAATTATTTTTACTAATATATTATTAATTATTTACTATTTATATATATATTTTTTAAATTTCAAATTTACAATAACACAATAGAAAAAAATAATAAATACTAGTTATCAAATGCTCAAAAAATATTTAATGTAAATAAAAATAAAATTCATATATTATATTTTCTCCGTCAACTTATTTTTTTGTCATTTTAGTTGGTAATTGTCAGTGTATTTATTTATTTTTTTTTTTAGTAATTGTACTTATTATTTTAATAAAAAATATCTCTATATTTTATACAATATTATTAAAAAATGAATAGATTTAAGGATAAAATTTTTTAATTATTATTCTATTGTACTATTAATTATAAACTATTAATATTTTAAAATTTACATAAAAAAAAAAGCAAATGATGACATTCACCATAGTGTATTACCCTTGAGTATTTCAAATTCAAAGTTCAGGGTTTGTTTATTTTGATTTGAATTTAAATTTTTTATTTGAATTTATAGTTTAAATAATATTTTAGTATAATATTTGTTTTTTTTTTTTTTAATTAGGAATCGACCAGATTGTGTTAGTTTTTGTTCGAAAGACAAATCAAACCCACGGGAAGATTAGACAAATTTCTCTTTCTTAATAAGTGATGCAGTGTCATTAAATAATTGATTTGAATGGAATGGGCTTATGGATTGGGCTACTATTATAAAAATAGGAATTCAACTCGATGCTAGTATATAATGATACCGTACATTAATATGTTACATATTCGAAAATATTGTTAATATTTTTTGATTAATTGATATTTTCAATTCAAATACAATTTACAATTTTTATTTTTATTTTTATTTTTTTATATTTCGAATACCAAATATTTGCATTATTGAGTTTTTGGCCTAAAATCTGCTTCGAGCTGACATGTGTCCGACCCGGTCAATGACCCGGCCCATCCTAGCGACCCGGTCTCCTCCTAGTCTAATCTCATCCGTCGGTTTTAGGGCAAGGATCAGAGCCGTCCACTGTGACATATATATTGCTGCCCTTCTCCTGATATATGTGTTGCTACTTTGTTTATCTCTCACTGATATTTTCTCTTCCACTTGCGATATTTTTTTTTTTATCAGTAACAGAATCGAGAGGAGTCTTCTGTGTGCCTTGGGGAGTGATTGATGAGGTTTTCTACAGTTCGATTAAAGGATAAATCGAACTGATTCCGATAAAGTATTGAGTTTTTGATTTGGGGCTATAGATTAGGTCAGCGGTGGGTGTCCGTTGGCCGTCGACCGTTGTGTTTGTTTATAAGAGTATACCTTTGAATATTCTGAGCCACAATAGGCGTGTGTTCATTACTTCTTGTTTACGATTTGTATTTTATTTTCAAATTCTAATAAAAATGCATATATAGTTCATGTGTTTCGTTTTGATTTCGATCCTTTAAAATACTACATGCATGTTTGCAAATATATAACGGTTGATTTTAACATTTACCCATAATAAATAATCTAATGAATTTACTGATGAGCTAACTATAAACACAAACTGCATTTTACTCGATCAACTATATTTTACCAACAAAGCATCTTCACACTGACACTTAAAACGAATAAATTAACGTATTTTTAAAAATTAATTATTTAATTAAATTCATGTGCTTAAATACAAAGTACCATCTTTTTTGGCGCGAGCTTAAAAGTATCGAATAAAATCAGGGGCACGCAAATTAATCTGCGGGCGACTTTTCCGAAGAAGACAAACCAGGAACAGCGGTGCCTTTGGAGTTTTCCGACGACAAATCAAATATCCAGAGATAACGTTCATGGATGATGCGTTGATATATACGAGCGCTCAGATCAGGTAAGGATTAGGAAATCCGCCATTGCAGGTCATGGATTCGATTTCTATGGTGCGCTTGGTCTTGCCGCTGCTCCTGTTAACTCTCCCCACCGCCATCAGCTTCGGTTACCCGGCGGTCTTCAATTTCGGAGATTCCAATTCCGACACCGGCAATTTTCTCGCCGGATTGGGCGGAAGCCTCGGCTTGCCGAACGGACGGTCTTACTTCCACAGACCTGCTGGAAGGTTCTGCGACGGTCGCTTAATCGTCGATTTTTTGAGTACGCGGTGTTATGCATTACACACTGTTTCTCTGCTCTGGTTTCGGTATATTATCTGTTTTTGTTTTTTGGAACGGTGTTGATTTGGTGCGATTTGACAGTGGATGCGATGGATTTGCCGTTTTTGAATCCGTATCTGGAAGCAATCGGAGCTCCGAGTTTTTACCGCGGATGCAACTTTGCGGCGGCGGCTTCCACCATACATCCGGCGAGGGGAGACTCCATTAGTCCTTTCTCATTGGGGATACAGGTGGCTCAGTTTGTGCGATTCAAGGAGAAGGTTCGAGAGATCCAGGCTCAATGTAGTTGAATTCAACCCTCTCATATGTGTAATTGAAATTTTGTTGACCTAATTCTGAATTGATGCGATGTGATTTCATGATTGTTGTTGGACGAATTGTAGCGAGGAATTTGGGCAAATACATTCCAGGCGAGGATTACTTGGAGAATGCACTCTACATGTTTGATATTGGGCAGAATGATCTCGCCGGCGCATTCTATTCCAAGACTCTGAAGAAAGTTCTGGCAACAATTCCAACCATTATGTCGCAGTTTGAAAGTGGAATCCAGGTTAGTCATCGCTATACATTCATATTTAGCAATCTCTGTTCGCAGATTTTGGTTTTGGGTTTGGATTTCACCGTAGATTCACATTTTTTTAGCGATAGATTTAGGGTGTGTTTGTTTGGGGTTTGGCTGGATTTGAATAGTAAAAATTTTGAATTTGTATAGTTGTATGATGTGATATAAATAGGTATTGATGCGATGCTTTGAATCTAAAATTGATTTTTAGTATAACATTAAAAATAAAAAATATTTATTTGATTTTGATATTTTTTGAAAAAAAAAGGAGAATAATATATTTAAAACAGAATTTAGTTGGGTTTCTACAAAATTTAATATTGGTTTCGTTCTTATTCATTTATTTTTTATGCGTTGATATTTGAATATTAATTATTATATCAAAACGTAGTACAAATTTTTAAAAAAATTGCAAAAATATTTCCATTACTGTCAAATTAAATTTGTAAAAAATAAATAAATTATACTATAAGGATATTTTTAATATTAAATACAATGAAAAAAAAAAAAAAAATAAACGTGACCCTCAAAGGTAGACGAGAGGAAGTACTATTTTAAGTATTTTTGTCTGTCATACTCCAAAGTATTTATTTCTTATATTTTTAAAAGTAATTATACACTAATACCAAAATATTCTTAATTTTTACATAAATTACAAATATATCGTACAAACAAAAAGTCAAAACCTCTTAGTTGTGTTCTTTTGTGAGTTTTTACTATATAAATTATTTTTTCCCTCCAAAAATATCGTATCAACCTCTATTTATATAACATCAAACAACTATTCAAATTCAATTTTTTTATCATTAAAAAAATCCAAACTAAAAAACTAAAACCTACAGACAAATACACCCTTACATTTTCATTAACCAATAAAATATTACTCCTTCCGTCCGCCTCCAAGGGCCATTTACGTTTTGTGTCATTGTACTTAACATTAAAATATTCTTATATTTGTATAATTTTTTATACAAATGTCCTTCTATTAGTATTATAAGACCCTAATAGAAGTATTTTTGCAATATTTTCTTAATTCATATTATATTTTGATATAATAATTAATATTCAAATATTAACAAATAGGGCGAAACATGACGAATGTAGTACTCCATCCGTCCCACATACCATGTCCATGTTGCCGTTTTTGTCCGTCCCATATACCATATCACTTTCCTTTTTTGGAAAATAATTATACACTTTAATCTCATTTTAAACTTTTTAATTTTATTTTTTTAAAAATTTTAATTAAACTAATTAATTATTTTAATCTTAATTTATAATTACTTATATTACAAAATAATTATTTTCACTAATATATTTTTAATTATCTACTAATTACACCCCTAATAAAATACAGTGTATACAGTATAACACAAATATCTACAGTGTAGCAGATATGGTACGTGGGCGGTGGGACTATTATTTTTTAGCCGCTACTGAGTGATGTGCCTAAGCCAATAATGTGTGACAACGGTCATAGCTCATAAGTCCAGTCCTACGCGACTAGACCATCTCACACCTCGTACTCTTGATTAGTTTGACCTCGTTTACCGTGTAATTTATCATAAATTTTTATTTTAGATATATTTTGATTGCCTTGTTTTGGCTAAAATTTGAATAAAAATAATATTAAATGTAATTTAAATTATATAGGGTATGTTTCTTTTCTTAAAATTTCAAATTTTTACTATTTAAATTTTATGATTTTTTGAAAAAAAAATATATTTTTTCTTATAAAATATTTTATCATATATTATTTTAATACAAAATTTAAATCAAATTTTTTTCAAACTCATCTAAAGAAATATACCCATAAATTTAATTGGATAAGGAGACCAATAAATAATAATATTTAAATATTAATATGAAATAAGTAAAAAGTAAAATAAGTGAATAAAAAAGTAAAATAAATTTTAGAAAAATAAATTAATTATTATTTGTTAAATAAATATTTTAAAATTATAAATAGATAAAATTATTGTAGGGTATTATTTGTAGGCAAATTGATAGCTAGAATTTAATTTGACTTCTTATAATTGTGCTCAATCAATCAACATTCTCTCTCTGCTAATTTCTCTATACCATTTTTAATCAACACTTATCAATTCAGGCTATTTGGTTTTGATTTGAAATTATTTTTTTTATTTTATTTTTGATATAAATAATAATTTAATATGATGTTTTATTAAAAAATATTATTTTTTATTAAAAATTATAAATATTGAACAATAGAAATTTTAGTTTAAAACACATATCTCGTAAAACACATATATTTTGATATTATATTTTATGAGATAGAAATATTTGATATAAGTTTTTTTTTTTTTTTTTTTTTTTCATAGTGTTAATAAATATTACTCATGTTTGAAGCTACTATTAGAACAAATGTTCAATTTAATTTGAACAAGTCTCCCTTAATTAATCAAACTGTTGTGAACCTTCATATCAAATAATTTTGTTATATTGACATATATATATATATATATACTTGCTAAGTGCTAACACTATTTTGTTTTATTTTATTTTATTTTACTTTTGTTGTTTTGAAAGAAAAATATTGTTAATATTATGTGTTGTGGTTGAATAACATACGCAGAAATTATACTACGAAGGAGCAAGAAATTTTTGGATTCACAACACGGGCCCTCTCGGTTGTCTACCTCAGAACATCGCTAAATTTGGTAGCAATGATCCGAAAAAGCTCGACGAACATGGATGTGTTCGCACCCATAATCAAGCTTCCAAGATTTTCAATTCTCAACTTTTTGGCCTATGCAAGAGGCTACGAGTCCAATACGCCGACGCCAAATTCACACACGTCGACATCTTCGCCATCAAATCCAATCTTATACAAAACTATTCTATTTACGGTAAGCTGTTGAATACATCCCGCACTGAATATATATATATATATTCGATTTTCTTAGATTATAAGGGTAAATAGCAGTTCACTTTAATTAATCGATTTCCAATTAAGTGTATCATATCTTTTATTAACAAAAGCACAAATTATATATGAAATTAATCAATGAATCCAACAACTTTTTGATAAATTATTAGTATCATGATAAGTTTTTTTTTTTTTTTTTTTTTTGATTCTGTACTCGACCACCTTTTTATTATTTCAATACAGTAAATGGAACAAGTATACATCAAGAGTGTGTTTGTTTAGGGGTTTGAATTTTGAGTTGAGATTCGAATAGTAAAACTTTTGAATTAGAACAGTTGTATATAAATAAATATTGATACGATGTTTTAAATGTAAAATTAATTTTTAATATAATAAAAAAAAATAAAAAATAGACGTTTGATTTGATATTTTTAGAGAAATTTTTTTTTGATGAATAGTTAGAATTTGGGAAAATCTCCCAAACAAACACACCATTTCAATTGCCATACTGTATAAGTTTTGTCCTGTACTTGTCAGCGCCTAATCAGCACCAGCGAGCCTACTTAACGACAACATGACAATTTTAGTAACGGAGAACCATCCAGCCATATTTTCGAAATTGATGATCAAACGTACAAAAAAACAGTTTATTATTATTATTATTATTATTATTATTATTATGAAATTAATTTATTATATATATATATATATATATATGGTTTTGGCAGGTTTCCGGCAGCCCCTGATGGCTTGCTGCGGCCACGGGGGTGCGCCGTTGAATTACGACAGCCGCATTTCGTGCGGGCAGAGTATAGTCCTGAACGGAAGTCGAGTGACGGCTGCGGGTTGCGAAGCGGACCGGAAATATGTGAACTGGGATGGGATTCATTACACTGAGGCTGCAAATTGGTACGTTGCTTCCCAGATTCTTACCGGCAAATACTCTGATTCGCCACTTCTACATAAAATGCCTTAGGAAGAAACTATGTACGGTCTATTTGGTTGTCGATTGTTTATTTTTATCTCAATTATTTTGTTTTATTTTATTTTTCAAATTTATTCAAAATGGAACCACATGTAGCGATAGTGCTTATATTTATATGTTCATTTCGTACTGCAAAAAATTATGTAGGTTTTATTTGGCAGAGACATTAAAAAATAATATTATTTTAATATTGTACTCCCTCCGTCCTAAATACCATGTCCATGTTGCCGTTTCTATTAGTCTCACGTACCATGTCACTTTTCTTTTTTGGAAAATAATTACACACTTTAATCTCATTTTAAATTTTTAAAATTTTTTTTTTTTTTATTTTAATTAAACTAATTAGTTATCTTAATCTTAATTTATAATTATTTATATTATAAGATAATTATTTTCACTAATACATTCTTAATTATCTACTAATTACACCTCTCATAAAATACCGTGTCTACAATGTAACAAACACGGTATCTAAGACAAGTGAGTAATAAAGTAGGTGAATAGTAAAAATGATATTATAGAAATTCATTAATAAATTATTAAGTAAAGGGAGTAATAAAGTAGGTGAATAGTAAAAATGATATTATAGAAATTCATTAATAAATTATTGAGTAAGTAAAAAGAAACAGTGACAAATTGATTATTATACGTTAAAATATGAATAATAAAATTGTAAGTCGATAAAGTTGTTTATTTTAAATAAATTGTGTATAAATTTAATGAAAAAAAAAACAATGACATAATTTTAGTATGAAAATTTTATTTAAAAACTATTTCATAAAAAGAAATCAAATTTAAAATATAATAAAAAGGAAAAATAAAAAACAAATCATGTATCTAATATCAAAAGAATTTCATTCAATACATAATACTGTATTTGAGTTTGTATTTTATACATCTTATCTTTCTTTTTTTTTTTTTCTTTTTTTTTTTTTTTATATGTTGGGTGGACTTGATAAAAGAATTTTAAGAGAAAGATAATACTATTACATTATAAAATTACTATAAGAAATATATAGTAAATTGAATAATAATATAGCCAAGGGTCACATTCAAAAGCAAATTTTACTTGGTACATAAATTTATGGATTCTTTCTATTTGATTCCGTCTCATGTATCCTTTCATTTTTCGATAATATAATTATTTATTTTAATCATATTTAAAAAATTCATAATTTATAATTTTTTATTTTAATTAAAGTATTTTTTTGTCATCTTAATTTTAATATATAATTATTTTTATCATATCATAATTATTTTTACTAATATACTTCTCAATTATTGCCTTAGTTAATATGGGCAAATTAGCTGGAAGGAGTATACTCTATTGAATATATATATTTTTTTTATAACGTGGAAACCCGAAACGACTACTTCTCGAGTGCGCTTTTGTAACCCAATTGAACTTAATAATATGCAAACTAAGCGCCACAAGATAAGTGTGTTTTAGATAAGACAGTACCCCGGAGGTTTCAAAATAATGTTTATACATATAAAAGAGGATATGTATTTGTTGTCAAACAATTTTATTATTTTAATTATGATATTTACAAATAACAAATTACAGTAGTTATATATTATAAATAAATATTTTTATATTAACTAATCGTTTTTCATTGAAGAATAAAATGCAGTCTTAAATTTTAATATTTTGTATTTATTGTAATAATTATTTTATATATATATATATATCAGCCTCCCTTTGCCATAGTGTCAGTCCGTCTTAGGTTCCTTTCACTAGAAGATTGTCATTTACTTTTGGCACATTATTATTTTGTATATTAATATTATATTAATGGATCTTACAAAATAGTCAGAAATGACAAAAATACCCTTAAGTTATTCAAGTGTTAGAAAGTAAACTAATATTAATTAATGCAAACAATAATCTAATTTTAAAATATACATTACTAAATACATAATTAATTCAGCAGACGTAATTTTAATATATATATTTGTTTAATACAAATATGTATAATGCACTTAAGCTATGCAAAACACCATTTTTTCACAAACATGCACTTTTTGGCGGCCACGGACAATAAACACAGCAACAATTACATCATCTTCTTATATTTTTCACTTGCAAAAAAGAACATGCAATTGCTTTTGAGTTTCCCTCTTAACAAAAGTTTAATATCCCTCCAAATTACAATTTTCTTTCCCTCTGTAACTTCATCTATAAATACATCATTAAAAGCAATGAAGTTGAAGGTAGATATAAAACTCATTACCTCAAATGATGAGAACGAAGAATCTAACGAGCGAGGAACTCAACAATATAGCGCAATTTTTGTTAGAAAACAGCAAAAATCGAAGGCCCACACATGAAAAGATCAATGAAGCAAGAACCAAATTTGGTGTTTCACGCAATGTAATATGTAGAATATGAAAAAGAGCCATGCAACAACAAGAATTAGGTATGTCAATCAATTTAAATTCAATTATGGATGTGCTAACTTGCTATGTTTTGTACCGAAACTTTTGACATTCTCAGATTATCAAATCATCACCGAGTGTAGAGCATTATAATTTTCCAGGACATCTTGTTTAAATTTTTGTCTTGTTCATGATTAATGGGTAATTTAGGGACACGGGACTTTCGCTCTCAAATTATAAAATCATCATCGAGTACACGGGACAACATTAAAACATTCTTTCAAAGTATAGATCATTGAATGCTTGAACTTAATACATTGTTAAGAAATGTATTAAATCAAATAAGGGACCATGCTCACGTTGAACGGGCGATGACTTTATACTAGGTATAAGTCTCCAAAAAACTCGTTTTTATGCAACAGTGAGACACCTACTGATTCGAGTCACCAGTGGCTTAACAATTTCATCATTTAAGGATAGTCACACCAAAAATCAACAATGACTTGCCACACAGATTTTGTATACACACAATTAGGGACAATCAAGTAAGCCATGATTTTTTGTAACAAGTATATCGATTTATACCTCAGTTGTAGAGATCAAACCATCCAACATGTAGGATAGTAAATCATTTACCCAAGTGATTTTTAGTTTTGCTTACAAACAACAAGAGACGAAGATTAGTAAGTTTATTAACAAAAATCAACAAGCTACATTCAAAAGAAAGTTTTAGAACAACATTTTCATACTTTGAAAGAAAATGAAATCTACTAACCTCTGTAACGATACTCCAGTGGCTCGACGGCGAGAGGGCAGAATATACGAAACATATCGACGACAACTCCACGGATAGAAGAGCAACTCAATGGAGCTGCTTCGATCCTACCCTGGGTCAACGAAGAAGGCCTCTGAAATAGCGATCGCTTGGCTCGAACAAGGGCAACGCTGGAATCAACCTCCGGCTCCGAATCAAGGACGAATCCATAGAGCACCATGGAATTAGTGTTCGAAGTTGTAGATCCAGAGAAATGAGGGGCAGAAAAGTCATCGACGACAGCCGATTCGGATAAATCGTCAAAATCGCTAAAAAACTCCGAAAATCCATCGACATACCGTAAACGATTACTCTCGAGGGGGAAACGGCCCTCCACGGCTGCAGGGGAGTGTGGGACGAACGACATCACCGGCGAAATGAGTCGGAAAAGAAGGGGCGATAGCGATAGTGAAGAGGTGCGCAAGCATTACAAACTCTAATTGAAATGATGAGTGAAAGTGGGGTGGGTAGATATATAGGTAGGTAAGTGATATATGAATGAATGGGTGGGTATTAAATGTGAATTATTTTTGTTATTTGTGTAAATATGTAAAAGGGTATTTTTGTAATAAAATATAAAGATAGGATATTTGTTATTTTAGGTGTATGTAAAAGTTACTAAAAATAGGAAATGACAACGTTGTAATGAGACGGATAAAAATAGAAAGTGACAATCTTGCTGCGGGACGGAAAGAGTATTTTAAATTTATTTTAATTATGTACTCATATTAATTTTATTTTGAAATTATAATAATACTTTCTCCGTCCACTTACAATGTTTACATTTACTTTTGGCGCGGTGTTTAAGAAAAAATATTAATATTTTAATTATAGTGAATAGTTAAAAGTAGTGTAATGACATTTTTGCCTTACTTTTTTTTTGTAAAAATAATGATGTGATGTAAAGTAAGAATATTTGTGTAAAAAAAGTAGGGTATTTAATAAAATGTTAACTTTGTAATTGGACATTCCAAAATAAAAATATGTAAACATTGTAAGTGAACGAAAAAAATATTATTTATACCAAAATATAATGAAATAATACTAATAAGTCACTGTTACTTTCTTAATCATCTAAATTTATTTATATTTTTATAAAATATTATTTGTATTATTTTATTTTTATTTTTTAAATTCGTATCTTATCAAATGAGTACGAGAAGAACAAGGAAAGGAAGGGAAAAAGTATTAATTAATTATATTTTATTGATTTAAATATAAATTTTGTTTTTTTAATATTTTTTCACATAATTATTTTAATAAATTAATAAATTACAGTTTTTCAAGTAAAAAAAATATTATTTTTAATAATTTTACAATACAAACACACCTATTTCAAATCAAATGAGATAGCAGTATTTACGCAATTATATATTTATATTATTATGTTTTAAAATTTATATTAATAATTATATTCGATTTTATTTTGATTTGAATATTTAAAATATTTGTAAATATTTTTATTTAATTAAAATTTAATTATTTTTTAATATTTAAATTTAAATTCGATTCGAATTATTTGCTAATACTACAAATATTTTAAATAAATCAAAATTTTCGAGTCGATACGCAGTTTCGACCCGAATAGTGGCAATTCCAAATCCGCGTCGCAGAGGATCAGCGCTGCCGTCCATGACTAGTCAGCCCTCTTTCTCTTCCTGTGTCTATGTCTATGTCCCAACCAACAGCAGCAGATCTTCGAACGAAACCCGCGTCGCGTCTCAATTCCGCCTTCTTCACCTTCCCTGCCCCTGCCCTCTCTCTCCATCAAACGGACAATTCCAATTCAATTTACTCGCTCCCCTTTCAGATATATTCTACATCGGAGATTTTCATTTTCTCCTGCCGCCATGGTACTTCAGTAGGCAGCGGTTGCGGAGCTTTTGGTTTTCTCTTTGATTTTTATTTTACTGTTTGTTTAATTTTGAAGATCTTGGATGGAGGCAGCTGGAACGCATCGGCAATCGTTCGGTCAAACGGAGATTAATTGGGACAAGTAAGTTGGATTGATTTCGTTCTGCGGTTTGTTAATGTTTCCTTAGCGTCGATCGATTATTTGATGGATGGATGGATTTGGTAATTAGGTTTATTTGAATGGATGGAAATTGGTGAGTTTGGAGAATTAATGATGGAAAATGGTGGTGTTTATGTGCTTAGGATGGATTAATTTGTTGTTAATTACTTCTTCTGAGTGATTTCCAGCATTGAGAATGGAGGATTTTCTGTTCTTGTTTGTTTGTTATTAGGTAAGTTTCTGTTTATCACAATATAAGATTTTTATCTTCGTTCCTATCAAACTTCCATTCCATTTCTTTACCATTCTGGATGAGAATCATTACTATTATGTGTTTTTGAAATGTTTTGTATTGATATAGAAGTATATATATATTTAAAATAATATTTTATTTGAATATGTTTTGAAGAAATGATAAAATCTTATATTTGAAATTTGTGACAATTGTTTATATGATGTTTATTTGATTCTTTTTTACATTTTGATATTTTTGAGATGAATTATTGGTTCAATGTGCTGTTTTGGATTGAAAATGGACTTGAAGGAAAATTGTGAAATTGGATATTAAACTAAAAAAGAAAGCAAAGCCAAACTCTAATTGAACACACCACAAGTAAACAAAATATTTTATGTTGTTTTGGATTGTAATATACTTTGAAATGTGTTGAATATGAATGTTTTAAGTATTTTCTTCCAAAAAAAAGGTCCTTGAAAAATTGGAAATCATTACTTATCATAAGTAGAAAATTCTAAACATTGCGGACGTGTAGTTAACGACCTAAAGTTGAAATAAATTAAATTGGAATATGGATGGAGTTTGTCATACTCTATTAATCTGTTGGTGCTTTGGTGTGCATTTCAAAATTGTTTTCCTTTTTTCATATAAAGTTCGAGTAAAAATGTGTTTTGCTACATGATTCTACCTAATGTGTTTAGTATCTACTATCATTTGTTTATTTCATATTATGATGCAGTTTAATCAACAATTGATCGGTGAATTTTCTTATATTTGAAAATTTGCATCGATCTCCTTTCCTTTCCTTCTCTTCGAAAGGAAGAAAAAGTGTGAAATTCCCAAATTTAGGTGCTGTATTTAATGTGTGTTTGTATTTATATTATGTGTTTTGATGTGTTCGGTATGTGTATATAATGTATGTTTGGTTTGTGTTTGTATTTATATGTGTTTGGATGTGTTCGGTATGTATGAGTTTTGTCTTTGTGTGATTTGTTTCCAGAGTAATTAGATGTGGTGTTTTGTGAAATAAAATAATATATTTTCATAGAAAATTGTAGGTAGGGATGGTATACTAAAGAATTTGAAAAGAATCTTAAAAAACACATAGCCTTTGTGTTTTGTTTTAAATAATCGGCTGATGGATGTATTATGAGAGAAAATAATGCATTTTAAAGAAATTGTGGGGATTGCATTGAAAAAAAAAAAAAAAAAATCTTAAAGAGAACATAACCATTAAAATCTAACAAGATTAAAATTATGTCCTCAGTTTGTTGCTTCTTCCATGTTTTTTTCCCAAAAGCTTTTTAGGACAAATTTTGAATGAAAAATGGTTTATAAATACCACCTTTGAGTGAAAACTAAATTAATGTGATGATTTGAATGTAAAGTAAATTTTAAATATGATATATATATATATATATCTCTTTTATATATTTTGGACATTTCTCCCTGCAGGCTCGACAAAACCAAGTTCTATATAGTTGGAGCCGGGATTTTTTCCGGGGTTACAGTAGCCCTCTTCCCCATAACCGTAGTGAAAACCCGGCTACAAGTTGCCTCACACAACACCTCAGAAAGAGGTGTGTTTTCAGTTGCCAGAGGCATCTTGAAGACCGATGGGATTCGTGGTTTCTACAGAGGTTTTGGCACCGTTGTCACGGGAGCAATACCTACACGTGCTCTATACCTCACTGCTCTAGAGACGACAAAATCAGCCGTTCTGGAAGTGCTGGAGCCCTTCAAGCTGTCGGAACCTACACAGGCTGCTATGGCCAATGGGGTCGCCGGCATGACGGCATCTGTCTGTTCTCAAGCTGTATTTGTCCCGGTCGATGTGGTACGTATGCTTTCTTGATCACTTACTTTTAGCCTTTATATGATTCAGTTTCTTTTCTTGGCAATATTGATGGAGGAAATCATTACTAGGAAATACCACTCTTATTGGTTTCCTTTTAGGTGTTTTATTTCATGTCTACATTTATTTGATTGTCGTAGCATGACATGGATAAAAGTTTATGTTTGTTTGCGGGTTTGAGAGTTTGAGTTTGGATTTGGGTTTAGATATTAAAATTTTGAATTGAAATAATTGTTTGATATAATATAAATAAATTTTACGTGATATTTAGAATATAAAATTGATTTTAGAGTAATAAAAAAATAGTAAAGATTTTATAGACATCATCTATAAAATGTTAATGCGTGTTTCATGCCATTTGTGATTGTTTTCTTTTGTGTAAATTTTTGGTACTTAAATAATGGAGTTCGACATATTTTATAACATAATTAAGCAAATTTATTGATATTCAATAGATTTGTAACATAATTTAATAGTTGTTTTTTTTAGGACTAGATTAATAGATTTATATTATAGTTTAGTAGCTTCTTATCATTCAATATATGAATGTCAACATATCTACACTATAGTTCAAAAGTTTATCATTGTATCGATGTTTTATACCTTTCAATATCACAATAAATCAATTTAAACCAAATTCAATACATGAACCACTCCTAGTTCCAAGTTTATATTAGTTGTAGCCCTAGAAATTTTTCGTGTTACACCATTGTTTGTGTGTTTTAGTCAATACTTACGCGTAATCTTTAGCAGCCATAAATAAAAACTGACATTATCGGGGACTGATTTTGAATTGCGGGACTGTTCTAAATTTCACTACATTGCAAAAGGAACATAGATAATTATAATTGCAATATTGTGTCGAATGTTGTTCATTTCTTTTAATAAATGCTAAAAAGCTAAAGAATTTTGGTGTTTGTCAAAAGGTTAGCCAAAGGCTGATGGTGCAAGGATATTCAGGCCACGCGACGTATAAGGGCGGCGTGGATGTCTTGCGTAAAGTTGTGAAATCGGAAGGGATTCGTGGATTGTATCGCGGATTTGGTCTCTCCGTCGCCACCTATTCACCATCTAGTGGCGTTTGGTGGGCAAGTTATGGCGCCAGCCAACGCTTCATATGGAGGTACTTTTAATTTATTGTTGGTACCGAGCATGAATCAATTCTATGGCGAAAATATTCGCAACCAATGAAAATCTTATAGTAGGGTTTAAATTCCACAAGTTTTTACAGGTTCATTCTGGTTGTCACTTTATTAATTAATTTTTTTTATCGAACATTTCAAACAGAATATTGGATGATCGCAATGCGCCTCCAAGCGAAGCAGAACTGATGTTAGTACAAGCTGCCGGAGGGGTATTCGCCGGCGCTACAGCAGCATGCATAACAAATCCATTAGACACAATCAAGACGCGGTTACAGGTAAGGCTCTATTTATTTTCCAAATATGCTTTTTAGGCCTAAATTTGCTTCTTCGCTTCGATATGGAATTTAGCAATAGAGTAGCTAAATAGATCATTCAATTCCATTGCGTAGATTATATGTTTTTGGAGAAAAAATAAAAATAACTATTTTGGGTATATATATGCTAAATAATTTATTATGGAGATGAAAAACGATATAAAATGCCTATTGTATCCTCCTCAAGGTAATGAAGCACGATACAAGACCTACCGCGAGGCAAGTAGTTAGAAATTTGATAGCGGATGATGGATATAGTGGATTTTTTCGAGGGCTCGGGCCAAGATTTTTCAGCATGTCAGCTTGGGGAACCTCGATGATTCTAGCCTACGAATATCTGAGTAATTTCTCCTAACTAATTTATTTGATACTTCATTAATTGCCGAGCATCATCTATTCGTAAGTTCATAGTATTCTCTTTAGTACTCGTGTATTCTTTCATCAATGTGTCAAACTCCTAGTCTAGTTTAAAATCGAGCAAAAAAACCATGTCTACTCCCTATCAATTAAGTCATCTAAATATTATCCTAGAATCATCAAGCTTGAGTCTATTTATATATGAGAACTATTAACCCAATACGAGACTAATTATTACGATGGTTTTTGGATACGCAGAGCGCATGTGCGCAAAAGGCGAAGAGGCTTGAACAACAATGCTCGTGAAGGATTATTAGAGACGAACAAGGTAACCAAAATAAATGAAGCCATTCTTTAGAGATGTCGACAAACTCAGCATATAGAATTTGATTATTTGGCAAAACAATTGCCATGATTCTTTTTAACACTCTGTATTCGTAGAAACTATCCGATTGTGTAATTGTTCTATAGAATGTGCAATAATTCTATTCTACACTCGATAATGTTCAGTTATGATCCATAATGTTCTCTTCATGATCACTACTTATTTGTCATGTGTTTATCTATAAGAAATGAATCCCACATGTTTTCTACGCTTCAAGTTACACATGAAAATCAATTTAAATAGAAAACCAGAATGAACTAATAATCTAATCATATGTTGGGACAAAAAAAATCACAATACAACACAACACATCAAAGGTCGGAGACTATATTGTCTAGTTCTAAAATATTCGTGAATCTTTCTATCAAACATCGAAGCAAAAACAAGAAATCTTACTTAACCAAAACTGTCCCTTAAAAAAAAAGACTTACCCAACAATGTGAGGCTCATCCTTATCACTACAATCATCCCTGCTTAATTCCGCATACTCTTCCAGAGTCGAAGCAGTGAATATATCGCCAACCTTACTATTATCATTGGTTGGAGGTGTAGCTGAGCTTTGAGTTGTTCCTTTGTTCATCTGTGTCATGTAGATACGATAGTGAGAAGAAAATGATTCACCGGAATTATATCATTCAACAGATACAAGAAGTTGACATTATTCAATAAGATTCCAATCTGCAACTAAAAACGGTGGCTTCCATTTGTGCTCCTCATCTAATTCAAGATTTCTATTTTTCCCCAATTTTCAAGAACACTTGTTAGATATATAAATACATGTAAATATCTTTAGATTTCTACATTAGCCCACAAATCCTCTTAGCTTAAGATTCGCACATGTAAATACATGGACATCTGGTAATGAATAGTTCTTCGAATGTATTCCATTAGCCTCATTTTCACCCGAAAATCTAAAATAAAAACCTATCCTGGTTCAAACACAGGTACACAAAATACTAAAATTTGGCATATACCCAAGAACTAGTTTTGCTCTATCAGCTACACTATGATCCAGCCTCTTAATATAGATAACAAATAAATAGCATTCGAATTGCCATTACAATAGCAAAGAACTTCAATTCTATCTATAAAAAACCCCAAAACAAAAACTACAAAATCAATATTAATAAAGAATCGTTAGATGGCGTTCAATGAATAAAACTTACAGCTCGGAGCAACGTTCTCCTCTCCCTTTCCCTAGCATTCTTGATCGCCTAAAGCAATTAACAAATTCTTAAACTTAACATGCAACAATGTGATCGCCATGTAAATATTTAGAAGTTTCATCAGAAATTAAACGAGGAGAAAGTATGTAACAACACCATATGACCATAAACAATATGCTAACCTCTTCCAATGTCTTCTGCTCAGCTTCAACTTCTGAAATATCCCTGCAAGTAAAGAAATAACTCTATATGTTAAATATCCTTTAATGTCAATCACACTTCACAAATATTACATATGATTCAATTCAATTATGTTTCAAATCCTTCAATTTAGCTAATGTGATAGCAGAAGAAAAGTTATACCTCCCAACTATCTGGTCCACGCGACATGAACACTTTGCACAGACATTGTGCTCCTTAGCACAACCTACAATGGGGATTGATCATGATCAATTGCAGAGGAAGAAGAAAAACACACCACAATTATCATATTTGGTGCATTAGAAATTCCAGAAGAGAAATCAATTTACAACATACATAATGAAGATAAATAAAGCAATTACTGACAACTAACCAGAGCAAAGATTGTGGTAAGCTTGGCGAACATTCCTCTTCGAACACCTCTGACTACAATAAGTTTTTCAATAAATCAAAAAAAGGAGCAACATCGTCAATGCAATCTATCTACCGGATAATATCACAGAAAATATCCAAAACAGAAGAGTAAGTAATCACCATTTTGCAGGTTCAGTAAGGGGCTTATATTTTCCGTATCTCCGTTTCCATTCAATTTGGTCTTTGCAGCGAGGGCAGACGCCTGTTACGTCGGAAAGCGGCCTGAATCTCCCCCCTACCTCCTGCGATAATCGATTGGATTGGATTCAGAAACGAAGAAGCGAGTTTGTCTTAGGGAGAGGATTGATTGATTGATTGATTGATAGCAGGACTACGTACCGTAGGGTTGATCTTGTGGCCGGAGTTGGGCTTCCAGGCAAACTTGTTCTGGTGCTTCGGTGGCCCTCTTTGCTTGCCGCTCATCTCTCCCTCGCTGTTCTGATCTCTCTCTCTCTCTCTCTCTCTCTCTCTAAACCTAGCCAGTATATACAATAATTATATACGTATTATATCCAACAAAAATTAATCAATAATTTTATTTTATTTTTTGTAATATTATCCAAAAATTAATATATAGATATATTAACTTAATACCAAATTTATTTTCAGTTATCAATAATTTTTTTTTTGTAATATTATACAAAAATTAAAATATAGATATATTAACTTAATACCAAATTTATTTTCAGTTTTCTCCGTCCACTAAATTTATCTCATTACTAGTTTAATTATTACCCTTCATTCAACACCGCTTATTACCCTTCATCATAACACTTATTTACAACAAATACCACTTAATTTATTATATTAACTTTCTTCATTTACTTTAGTTTTAAATTAAATTTCTAAAAATACCTCAAACTACTTGTCGTTTTTTTAATAAAATATTCATTTTTTTTTATTCCGGTGGCAGGCCCAAATGAACTAATTTTAATGGACGAATAGAGTAATATTTTATTTATTTAAAAAATGAGCAAAAATCAATTTTGGGACAATTTAATACCATAGTTATCAATTTTGATCCCATTAATTTTTATTATTATTTTTTTTTCGACTTAAATGAAACTTTATCAATTTTAGTTTCATGATGGATGACTGAGACTGAACACGGCTTTGTTAGATGACTCAAAAGGATGACTGAGCGTCCCAGACAGTCAACACGGCCGTGTTGATTACCCAGCACTGAACACTGTTCTGAAAAAGACCGTGTTCCTATCCGTATTCATGCCGTGTTCTAAACACAGCCATGTTCATGATCATGCTCTCAACGTAGTCATGTTCTAGGCCATAGACTATATTCACGACCATATTTTCAATATAGTCCTATTAGGTCATATTTATTAGTATTATTTTCACTTCTTTATTAAATTTATTTGATATGTATTTATAATTCGACAAATATATTTTTTGTAATTATTTTTTAAAATATTAAAAATTATTATTTTTTATATATATTATGAAATAATTGTAAAAAAAATAACAATAATATATTTATATATTTTTTAATAATCATAATTATGATATCATAATTTACCTAGTATGATTTGTGTTGTCGAACCTAATTTGCAGACTATTAGGTTCGATCAGGAATTTACCCAGAGCGTAGCGAAGAATAGCAACTTTGGATTCCCACGTTATAAAATATATATATATATAGGCTAAATTGCATAAAATCCACCCGTGGTTTCATGAAATTGCACCAAATCTCCTATACTTCTAAAACTGCGCCGAACTCCCTTGTGGTTTCATAAACTTTGAGTCTAACCCCCTCAGTGGTCCTTATTTAACGGTATTTGACCTAAATGCGCTCAAATTACGAATAAATTTTAGAATATCAATTTATAAACCCCTAAATTTACAAATATATTTATTTTTTTAAAAAAATACTTCTTCCGCCAAACAATAAGTATATATTTATTTTTGGCGCGGAATTTAAGAAATAATAATATTTTAGTTATAGTAGGTAGGTAAAAGTAGTGTAACGACATTTTTGTCCTTATTTTTTTATATAAAAGTAGTTATGCGATGTAAAGTAAAGGTATTTAATGAAATAGTTACTTTGTAATTGGACATTCCAAAATAAAAATATATATACTTTGTAGCTGGACGAATGAAATATATTTTTTATTCTTATAAAATATCCCATCAAACATTATTTCCTACTCATGCATTTCTGTATATATATTTTTTAAAGGCGCCGAAAATCGTATTGGTTATAGCTTCTGAAGTTATTAAAATATATACTCTTTTAGTTTTAACTCCAAAAAAATTATATTTAAAGACCAAAATATTTTTATTTTTTACATAAACTTTATTTCTTTTGTAATTTGAAGAGCAAAAATATTAAAATATACATATTTACATACTTAATTTTTTCGCAAATCAATAAGATATTACTCCCTCCGTTCCAAACACATTACAACATTTCCTTTTTGGTATGTCTCAACACCCTGCAACATTTCTAAATTAAGAAATAATTAATTATATTTAATATATATTCTCACACTTTATCTCGTCACATCATCCTAATAAAAAAAATATACTATTCTTTCTCCATTACATCACCTAATTACTCAATTATCCTGCTTAATATTTCTCACATAAAATTTCGTGTCCAACTTAAATATAGCACCTTGTTTAAGACGGAGGGAGTATTATTTTATAATATATTGAATTGAATAGCATATTACTTGACATATGTAATTTGATAAATTATAACTAAAAATATTACTCCCTCCGTCCACAAACTAATGTCTTACTTTCCTATTTGGGACGTCCAACAACTATTTTCCTATTTTTTTTTAAACATAAATTTTACAATTTTTACCTTCATTCATTTATTACTTTTAATCTCTATCATACACTTAAAAAGACAAATTTGTTCATTCATAACAAAAAGGCAATCACCTAAAAACAGAACAATAGAAAATAGACATAGGGAATATTATTTTACCAAAAATTAAATAAATATTACTCCATATAATTTACTTGGTATTTCTTCGAAATTTGGCTTGAATATAGAATTTTAAAATTTTTAGTTAAATAATATTAAATGCAATATTTTGCAATAAAAATAAATAAATTTTCTAAGTCCAAGCCCATATTAACTTAAAATTAGACAGGCTGTCAATCGGATCAAACATACAATATGCAGAAATAGCTCAGACAACCCATGGCCCAGCGGGCTATGGCCATTTTTTTATTTAAATTTTTTTTTTATATAATTTTATTATCCTTATTTTACCGCATAGTAATAATTTTGCTATTATTTTTTTCTACTTAACACCATATTTATATCGATTCATAATAAATTTCTTATAATATTTTCACCCTACTTTTTACTCATATCACTTTAACATTATAATATTATTATCTTTTTAATTTTCTTGATCAACCAAAATTACATATAATTTGTCCAAAGAATATTTTAGAAGGAATTGAACATCCAAGAAGATGACAGATCCAATTGAACCCACGTTGAAACCCTAAATTAGGTCAATTTAAATATATTCATCTATTACTACCTCTATCCTAATAATATATCCACATTAATATAAATACAAATTTAAATAAAATACTATAATTAATAAATAAATTTTAAAAATATATTAATAAAAATAATTATAAATTAAAATTAAAATAACTATATACTATAATTAAAATTATAAAAAATATATAAAAATTATAAAATTTAAACTATAACTTAAATATATAATCGTATTTTCACTACACAAGACATTATGTAAAATGAACAAAAATCGAAAAAATTATGTGTGGCATATGTGTTTGTTCGGGGGATTTTAATCCAAATTCACTATTCATCCAATTTTTTTTTCCCAAAAATATCAAATCAAACACCTATTTTTTATTTTTTATATTATACTAAAATTCAATTTTACATTAAAAAAAATCACATTTATTTCGCACATCATACAACTATTCAAGTTCAAAATTTTCACTAATCAAATCCCAATTCAAAATCCAAACTCCCAAACAAACTTGCTTACAAATCTATTGCAGCCATACCAAAATTTTATTTAATATACACTTAAAAAATGATTCAAATTTGGCTCGGTAGCACACAAGTTGCATAGTAGGGGAGGAATATTCTTCAACTCAGGGGTATATGGGAAAGGCAAGTATTAATATATCATGTGCATACAAACAATATAACACAGAAAAGACACCAATATAGCCTTCCAAAATCAAAATTGTATGACTGTCAAAGACTCTAAAAAATACATTAATACTAATGATAATAAGATTCTTAACATTCTACTTAGGAACAATCGAGATTTACCTCAACGAATGGCCAGACCTTGCACTGCTTGAGTGGTGTCTTCCACAATCTTGTTAGCTTGTATGGTGTTAATAACATTCGCAATGTTTCCCTGAAAATATTCGGCACAAAACGTTATAAATGATAATAATAATATAAATAAATGAATTAAGAGCCACTTTAAAATTTCAAGCAATCTACTGTTATGTCTCATGTCAGGTGGGGATGACTTTAAAGTTCAGTCATACAATTGGGCATCAGGTATCGGGAATCCAAGTTACAAGACCAGTCCATGGTAGATAAAGAATAAAAACTCATGTATCATGTAGAACAACATTTTTCTTTTTTTCCTACGACTAATGACAAATTGGACACATTAGATGTCCGTCAAGTGTCAAATAATGCAACGATGGATAAATGCATGATTAAATTTTGATAGTTCTAGCAAGTTTAACTTGTGAGTTTTGATCGAGCAGGCCACATTGAGGCATCAAGATCTTTAGCGGCAAACATAATGAATGATATCTAAAATGACACAACAGAAGGTATTAGAGATGATGAATAGAAAATCATTACCCTCCAAGAAGCGAGCTTTGCCCGAAGGGAATCCCATTCGTGAATCCCAAACACACGCTGTGTGCAGCGGCTGTACCATAAGCAAAAAGAGTGTAGCTTTAGAAGTTATACCACATGGGATCAAATACAATATCAACATGACATTCTTACCTGATGATGACAACTTGGTTGATCTGATCGATTCTGCAATCTATTAGTTTGGCTGTAGTAGCCTTCACAACCCATGACTCCACCTCATCTTCGTTGATCTAAACAACCATGAAGATTAGAAAGGCCGATTAAGACATAATGCTGAAATGGAAATGACATTGAGAAAGAGAAAGGTTCCAAACCTGGAGTGTATCCTTAATCAAAGAGTAAGGAATTTGATTTGACCCATCCGCACCTAGATCTACCAAGGATAGCAACCTCATCTTAGAAACACATTCCTCATGCACAAGGCCTGCAGCATTCCAATGGAATTGCGTTAGTAAATTACTTTTTAAACATTCAAAAAATCCATTAAGCAAGATTACTGTTGTACCATAGTTCTTCAATAAATTAGAATTTGATGAATGGAACTCCAAATATGCATCAAGCCTCTGTGTCAGGAAGATTTTCAGAAGCTGGTATACAGGAGCATGTGTGCTGTCTTTCTCAAGTTGGGTAATGGCAGGCAACTCTAGTAATTCACCCTGTCCGGCAGAAATACGTAATCAGTTTATGACAGCATTAGATAGACTCAAAGTAATACAGAAACCACAGTCATATCTTACCTGAAACATGTCAGCAGCCTTAACAAATTCAATAATGGCATGGACAGCTTCTTCCTTAGCTTCAGCCACGACTGATGCGTCCTCACCGTTAAAAGTTTCCAGGTACTTGACAAGAAAATTGAAGGACTCTTTTGCAGAGCTGAAATTCACATTCGGTATACCAATTATAACACAATCAATCAGCCTTGTATCAACACCAACTCATACATAAAAATATTCAATATGTATAAGCACACACCAAAATAAATAAATAAATAAATACTAATCATCATGAATAGTTTTCACCTCTTGGTATCCCTCAAAATATGAGCAACCGCAAGAAACAGATCCCTCTTATCCTTGGTCCCAATATTCCACTCCCTCAAGAGGTTATCTATCTTCTTAAAAGTTGGTATAATATGCTCGGTGACCTTTCCATTAGCTGCCAAGTTCAGAGCCTTCATGTACACAAAGAACTGGCTATACGGATTCTCCAACAGGTTGTAGAGATTAAACAAGCTACAGAATAGAACATCACTGTAAGACACAATTCACAATTTTGTGTGCCCTCAAAGGTTAACAAGTGCTATGATGACTTACATCTTTAAACGCAGTGCTGGCTTTTCATTAGGCTGTTGGGTAACCTTTGTGGCTATAAGCTCTGCCATCTCATGCACTTGATCAAGGTTCTCAAGCCTCTTAACAAGGGAGCCGATAACAGTGTAAACACATTCAAGGTCTGCAATAAGCCATCAGATAAAATGACAAGTAGAAATTACAATAGAAGCTTATCCAGAAAACTACAATTTTTTGGGTGTATGATTCAGAACAGGTGGGATAGCAAATCAAGTACACCATGTAGAAAGGCCCAAATAAATTTTAAACAGCAAAACTTATGAATTAGAAAATCTAAATTTTTCAATGTAAACAAATCCAATATCGAAAGTTGATTAACAAACAAAATGTACTTATCAATGGGAAAATGGAACAAAAGATGATCAAACTATAGTACAACAAGTTATTTCTTTGAAAAATCAACCTGGTTTGCATACTAAATTGAGTGGTATTGACATCAAAAAATATTTTACAATTGAAAAGAAAGAATATATTCATCTTTGCTAGTAACTCAGCAAATATATGACCAGAAAGTTAGAGAAAACCTCAAATATTAAGTCCGTAGTTATTGAGTCACATAAGAATGATAAATTGTAAATAATTAATAAAGAATACCCTTCTCAGAAGCTTTAGAGAAAACAACATCCGCAGATGCAAGCATCAAAGAAGCTAAATCCAACCACCTATTCTGAACCATACACTCTTGAGCTTCCACAAACAATCTATTCACCTGCCCCTCGGCTACCTAACAACATCATAAACCAAACATTCACATGATATCTTGTCATAAATTTAACATAATAATCACTCAAATAAAAAGAAGATTCAAGCAAGACTAGTATAAAATTATCCATCAAATTTATCGATACAAAATAAAACCCATACCCATGCAAAAACTAAAACAATTACCTCAGGACCTGCATCCGCCCAGGACAACTCGGCAGTGAACCGGACAACAGCGAGCACAGGATCTTCTTCGGTAGTGGGCACAACAGTCGTCATTGTTAAGCTTAACAAGAAAAACAACAGAAATCCCTCCAACTGACTGACTGTTTATTTGGTTGGCAAGCAGAGAATTCAGCTGCTGTGAGAAGACCGCATTGTAGCAAGAGGCAGAGCGTAGATGAATAAAAAGGGTTAAGCTAATAGTGTTTTGCATCATATCTCCATAGCTCATAAATTATGAAATGATTGAATATAAATGCCAATAAACTAAATAATATTGAAAGTAAATTTAATAAAAGTGAAGAAATCACAGAGACTTAAATTCGTCATAAACCGGTAAAGGTGGGCACAAATTAAATTGCAAGATGAAGCAGATGACGGCATATATCAAATAAGACTGACAATTTCAAATTATACACTAAGTAGGTGTGATGGAAGTGATATGTCGAGCCAGTGCAAATTGTGTTCTTAACAATATAGGGCAACAGGAAGGCTAGGAACTAACCGCTAATTTTAAACTTGCAAAGAATGTTTATACGCCTGATATAATTGCAGCATCGAACAGCATGAAGTAATTACTTTCAGAGTATTTCGATCCGAACGGATTGGAACGATGCGATTGTGTTTGTAAAAGTCGAAAACCAGTGTTTGAATTTAAAGGTGGGGAATCATAGAAATTTTACCAAATCACCATGCAAAGCTGTTTATTCATCGAAAATGAGAAGATCTCTTTACCTACCGGAGGAAGGGGCGGAGATAGAATTCGACCAAATCGGCGAGAGACGGGAAGTGTTCTACTGATCGCCGGATGAAGAAATTCGATTAGGGTTTCTCATCGTGAAACCCTTAAACACAACGGGCCCAAAGGCCCATTTAACAATGGGCCACATTATTGGCCCATTTCGATTGGACTGAGGGAGTATTATCTTTTTAAGTGTGAGTATGGTCTTTGTTGCCTTTATTATTGTTTTTAAAATTTTTACTCCCTTCATTTCAATTTTGAGTCTATTAGATAATTAAGAAGTGTATCAGTAGAAATAATTATTATTTAGTAATAATAATTATAAATTAAAATTAAAATAAATAAATAATTTAATTAAAATTAAAAAAATTATAAAATTTTAAATTTAAAATATAATTAAAATGAATAATCATATTCTTTTTTTAAAAAAGGACAAGTTATGTCGGACGAAAGAAAAAAAAAAGGACAAATTATGTGGAAGATAGAGTACTATTTAAATAGTTACATTTCTTATTATTTTTAGTAAGGAAATATAGCTATTATTATTATTATTATTATTATTATTATTATTATTATTATGTTTTTGTTAGTTTTCTAAAAAATCGGTTATTCTTAATAAAATAAAAAAAGTAATTACATATTATTCAAAGTTTTTTGAAATTTTAATTTTTAAAATTTAACTGGAATTATCTATAAATATTGATTTATTTTGAATTATTTTAATTTTTAAAATAGTAAATGATATGTTTTAATATATTAAAATTTATATAGATTAATATTTAAAAATTAAAATATTATTATATACAATTTTATTCAATAATAAAATTATACATAGAAATAAGTAAAAATAAATAAATTATATATATTATGTAATATATATACATCTAAATAAATGAATTATTGTGATCCTATAATATGCTGTGATAAAAATAATAATTTAAATATTGAAATAAATATAATATAGATAAAAAATATAAAAATAATAATTAAATAAAATTAATGACAGCCAACAAATGCTCTTACACAATAAAAAATAATAGTAATAATAATAATAATAACTATCAACGGTGTGAGATACTTCACAAAGAGAATGCATATAATTTCATTAATAAATAAATATTATTTTTATTTTTTAAATTCAATTTATTACTATATTTTATTTTATTCATTTTACATAAAAAGTTTTTTTTTTTTTCATTTTAGTACGTTCTACGTAATTAGTCATTTTTTAAAATATAATTATATATTTTTATTGTATTTTAAAAAAATTTAAAATTTATATTATTTTTAATTTTTATTAAATTATTAAATTATTTAACTTATAATTATTTTTGTTATAAATTAATTATTTTTATTAATATATTTCTTAATTATTTATTATTTATATTTTACTTAAATGATAATATCTACAATAATAATAATAATAATAATAATATTATGAACAGGACTATGTGAATATTTCGCTATGTTATATATATATATATATATATTTACTATTTTTTAATTTCATTATCTTTATTCAATTTAATTTAGTATCGCTACCACTAATTTATTACAGTTTTCTTTTTTGCATTGTCCGTAATTTTATAATTCTTAGAATATTTTTTAAATTTTATTATATTTTATTTTAGATTGAATACAAATAATATCGTAACATTAAAAAATCAAGTGTTAATTTTGTAACATTATTTAGAACATATAAATTTAAAATATTATCGACAAGTGCTAAATTTGATTTTTTTTTCCTTAATAGTAATTTTAAATTTCAAAAGAGTCAATATGACATATAAGTTGAGTGGATAAAGAAAAAAAAAAAAAAAAGGGATATATTTTGTTGGCGGTGCTGCTAAGAATTGTGGTTGTCTAGAATGTTTGGATTTTGATTTAAATAATAAAAGTTTTAAATTTGAATAGCTATATAACGTGATACAAATAAATAAATATTGATGTGATATTTAAATATTAAATTAATTTTTTTAGTGAATTAAAAAATATTAATATTAATTTTATTGGTCAGTGAAAATACATAAGATAATTTTAATATTTTTCTAGATACATTTGAAACAATTTGGGTTTTTATGTTGAATATAAATATTTGAGTGTGTTTGGTTCCTAATTGGATTTTAATTTCAAAAGTTTGGTTAAAATAATTTATTTAATTAAATTTTTAATAAAAGATTATATAATTTAAAAATAAAATAAAACACGTATTTAAACATTTTAAAAATTATTTCAGTGAAAACATATACTAACATAAATAGAGAACACACCCTAACTGTTGGGTTTGGCTAAAACTTGATAATGTTATTCAAAATACTCCTTCCATCCCACTTACCATGTCGTCGTTTCTATTTGTCTCATGTCACTTTTATTTTTTGGAAAATGAATTACCCATCTTAATTTTATTTTAAATTTTTAAATTTAATTTTTTTTAATTTTAATTAAACTGATTAGTTATTTTAATTTTAATCTATAATAATTTATATTATAAGTTAATTATTTTTATTAATACATTTTTAATTATCTACTAATTATAATTATCCTAAATTTTCGTAATAAAGACACCTAACGTGGGACGGATGCAGTATCTTTTAGTAAAGTTTGACAAGTGAAGATTGTGGCCCATAATTTTTATTGCATCATTTTTTGTTTTGTGGCTATTTTATGATAACGAAAGGGTTCAATCTCTTAAGTTACACTTAGCTATTATTTCATTAACATATTGATTTATTAAATTATTCACAAAATTTGGAATAAAAAAAGAAAAAGTAAATTGCATGAGTGATATTTTTCAATTAAGAAAAATATAGCGACAAGAATACTCAAATCCAATTATAAATATAAACACTATGTAAAGAATATAGTAGAGCATCAACAAACATGTGTTAGAACTGTGCTAAATTTTATTATAAACAGCGTATATGAAATAGACCGGTAAAATAAACGAATAGTTCGCGAACTCAATTCGATTTGGATCGTTGAGTTAAACGAGCCGAACGCGAACATAAATTTTAGCTCGTTATGTTCACGAACGAGATCGAGATTGTTCGCGAATGTTCGATAGTATTTATTAGAAAACTAAATTAATAATTTTATATTTAATAAGTATATATATCTTTATAAATATTATATTTCATTCTATTTTTTTATTTAAATTTATTAATAAAATTATAGTTATTATTAACTAAATTTAATTTTTTTTAAAGATCAAATAAATAAAATAAAATTTCTCTTAACGAACCGAGCCATGTCGAACATGAAAAAAAAAATTGTTAAATGAGCAAATTCAAACAAAAATTTCAACTCGTATCTAACGAACGAACACAAGCTGAGCTCAAACATGATAAGCTCGGCTTTGTTCAGTTCGTTTACAACTCTAATGCACATTATGACACACATGAGATGTTTTATATATAGTGATAAATACACAATAATAATAAAAAATAGATCTAATACACTATTTTAGCACATAAAATATATAAAAATGATATATATATATATATATATCAATTGTTGAAATAGTGTAGTGCATTGGAATAAAACAAACAATACCCATGGAATAAGGCAAAAACCTATGCTAACAAATTACACACCCGATACACTTCAATTCAAGAACAACAATCATTGAAGCTTTAACACATTTTTTCTTAGTAAAGTATTCTATAACAATGTCCATTGTAAGTTTTCTATCGATGTAACAAGTATACACTGTCCACGTTCTTGCGATGCATGAAGTCAAAAGACATATGCTGAATGCAATGCAAAACTAGTTAGGCGCGTCACAATTTGGATAGTGCAGAGAAAATATAAAAATAAAAAGGAGTACACAATCAATGCATGTTGACAGTGCGCCGAGCACTCAACATTTCATTCTTCTGAATCTTAATGTACAGATTATTTAGGCCATCTATAAATTTGTCCGTAATTAACCCTACGCAGTTGAAGCGATTCACATTCATTTTCTTCTTTTGAAACTCTATATATGCATAATGAACTCTAGGGTGCGATGTTGGTGCTAGCAAAGTACATATAGTATAAAGCACGCAAAATCTCTAGCATGTCTTCTTTCCCCTTCAGAAGTGCTTTAAGTTTACTATCGTCTATATATTTCTTCTCTTTGTTTATGAGTTTGTACTCCCTAGCGAACTCATTGGCATATGGATAACACTTGTTAGATTTATTAGTTATAATTAGGAAACGTTTGGCACCACGTTGGATACTGTAAACATGAGCAATATCTTTGTTTGAAATGTACCATTCACCTCCATCTGGTAATATAAAACACTGTTTCTCCTCACCTCAAAAACTAATTAACTATAGTATTGGTCTATTGGAATTGAGTGGAAATTGACAAGAAGGAGGTCATTGTTGATTAATGTTGTTGATCCTTCTCGGAACACATGAAAACTACACGTACGATTCTCACGACTTGGATGTCTTCACCTTCTTCATCATTTTTTGTGTAGCAACAATGATGATGGAAAATATTGAACAAATAACAGGACACACATGGAAAAAGATGATAGCGAAGAATGGACAAGAAACAACAGACATGAAGAAAATGAATCGAAAATTGACAGAGAAATAAAATAATATAAAATAATTTAACTTCCGTAAATAAATAAAAAAAAGGCTAATAAAATCTTTTTACTTATTTAAACCAACGAAATACAATAATTATCATACATTCCCTGTTAGCATAATTTTGGTGTATAAAAAGATATGATTGTATGCTTAAAAATCCGTCAGCGATTGTTGATTTCATCGTTCAAACATAGCTCGTCCTCAGTAGTCGCGTTGTTTGAAAATTGGAAATATTGAGTTTAAAATAAAAATTCAAAACTAATCTATGTTAAGAAAATGAAATAATCGTTGATGTGGTAATTATCCATCAGTATCCGATTTATGAGATTTGAATTGTCATTTTATCATAATAACCCTGAAAAACGATAGCTTTAGGATGCTCTTTGATGACGATCTAAT